GGCCCCCTGAGTCAGGAGTTGCTACTGCCCGGCGCGGCTCCACGCGGCTCCAGTCCCGCGTTGCCTCGGGAAGGGAAAGGCAAAAAGGAAGAGCCGCGGCAGCGCTTTGCAAAGAGGACTGGCGAAGGCGAAGTGGTTTTGCAAACGATTCCTGGGCGCCCAGATGTAAATAAATGGTTTTTTGCCCGGGAAGCCCATTCTCACGAGTCTAAAAGGCTCATGTAATAATACACCTTTCTCTCTCTCCCCCCACCCCCCCAATGGGGCGCGCTTCAACGACTCCTCGGGCCGCTCTTGCTCTTTCAAAAGTGTGAGGCGGGAGTCAGTTGCAGGAAAAACCGAGCCAAGGAGCGGGGACACAAGTCGCAACCGCAAGGCTAGTGGCGGGCGGAGTGGGGGGGGAAGAAGACTATTATTCCTGTTATTCTTGCACTGTGGGGATAGCGAGTGGGTGTTTGAGTGGGTGTTTTGTGTGTGTGGGTGTGCGCGCGCACTGATGCCAGGCGAGAGCTGCCTTTGGGGTTATAGAGCTGCCCGCCTCTTGCCGAACTACCCGCACCGGACGCAAAAAAAGTTCTCCGTGGGGAGGAAAGTGGACCCACGTCACGCCCCGGGTCTCTTCTCCCGCTCCTCCACACCCCCCCCCCCAGCTGCCAGGTGCCTGCACAATCAGCCCGGAGGAGCCCTGCCGCCTTTAGCCCGCAGCTCGGAGGATCTCATGCAGGAGGGCGAGGAAGAGCCCGAAAGCACCAGCTGAGGCTTCTGTGCAGGGAGGGGTCACTGGGGAAGACCTGGAGGGGAGGTGGGGGGGAGAGGAAAGAGAGAAACAGGGGGGGTGTTAGTTGAGGTCAGGGCGGGGAACTGATCGGATGCTTAGTGGGTGCTTACGCAACCCCTGCACCCCTGGCTACTTTTCAGATATTTTTTTCAGAGGGTAATATCATGCCTGACCTTCCCATTCAGAAGTAAATTGAGCTCAATGGAGCTTTTAAATCATGGTTGCCAACCAATGGGCCGTGGCCCACTGGTGGGCCATGAGAAAATTTTGGTGGGCCGCAGTGTGCTGAAGACCAGGTGGCTGGCGGGAAAGTGGGGCAATTGTGCAGTCTCCCTAGCAAACCCATGTCGTGGCTGCTGCCTCCTGCCTCAGCACATTGAGCAGCAGCGGGAAGAGCATGGACCTCCTGAGCCGCAGTGATGCCCTCAGGTGAAGATGTTGCGAGGGGGAGGCTCAACCCCCTCTACCTCCTCGCCAGAAGCATTCATGCTCAGTGGGAAAGAGGAGGCTTGCTGGGTGCCAGAGGGGCGATAAGTGCTTTGCGTGAGTGCTTCTGGCAACAAGGAAGAGAAGCTCCTGAGGGGAGGGGCACAGGAGATCACACCCTCCCCTCGCAGGTCAGGGAACACCTGGGAAGGGCTCCAATGCCATGATCTCCCATACCCCTCCCCTCAGGAGCTTCTCTACCTCCTTGCCAGAAGCGCTCACACGCCCAGTGGGAAGGAAGTGGCTTGAGTGCTAGAGGGGTGGTGAGCGCTTTGCGTGTGAGTGCTTCTGGCGAGGAGGAAGAGAAGCTCCTGAGGGGAGGGGGTTGAGCCTCCCCCTTGCAATATCTTCCCCTGAGAGCATCGCTGGCAGCCACTCAACCTCCTCGGTGCGCAGAGCCAGGAGGTAACACCAGTTCCAAGATTCCTTTCCCTCCACCCCTTGCAGGCCAGGGAACACCCAGGAAGGGCTCCGATGCCATGATCTCCCACACGTATCAGTCCATTTGCCGCTGATATCATCCCAGTTGCCCCACCTCTCCACCAGCCATCTGGTCTTCCCCACGTGGCTTGTTGGCCTCCGGACATCAGATTCTCACCACCCAGCACCAGTTCAGAGGTTCCTTTCCCCCCACCCTCACCCCTGGGGACAGAGGGGGGGGAGAAAGAGAAAGAGGGACAAAGAGGGAGAAAGAGAGAGGGAGAAAGGGAGGGGGAGGGAAAGAGAGAAAGAAAGAAAAAAAAAGAGGGAGAGGGGAGGGAGGGAGAGAGAGAGAGATCCCAGTGTTTTGTTTTCTGTGGGAAACAGGTCCAAATGACTCTGAGTATTTAAAGTTGCAGAAACAGGCAGCCAAGCTAAGTGCCTGAAGGACCCCATCCCGTCAGTGGGAGTCCAGGCGCTTCAGTGAGCGGCATGCTGGATTCATATTAATGGTCCGCGGGATTTAAAGTTATGAGTTTGGTGGTCCCCAAGGTCCAAAAGTTTGGCGACCCATTTTAAATTATGTCTTTTCAAATCTGTCTCGTCCCCTAAATTGCCTCTGTGAAAGCCTGGTCTCTTCTGCAGATACACCAAAATGCCCATGGATGGTGGTATCCAGCAACAGTGGCTAATAGGAGCTAGGCAGATTCCAACCCTGACTTTGTCAACAGCTTTAATGAGATGTCATCAGGTATTGTTTGTCAAGGGGGAAAGTCCTACCTCTAAACTGGAACAGGGAAATTCAAATGTAGGTTGCCTTTGTGGCAAGCTGGGAATAAGGCAAATGTGCCATTATGAAAATATGCCCTTTAAAATAGTTAGTGAGGCACTCTCATACTGTTAAGAGTAAGTATGTTGGGAGGAGAAATAATGTTTAATACAGAACTATTTGGATATTTTTAAATAGATATCTTAAGTATTTTTTCTAGAGCTGTCCCTGAAGTAGCAGATTCAGCAATGCTATTCGTATCTGTTATTTTCAGAATTCTGAACTGGGATTTAAAAACTTTGGTATGTTCAAATTCAACAATTATCACAGGAGAAGTGCCACAGCCTATATGGAAGTCTGGGGTCAGACTTGCTTCATTTCTCCTGCCGCACAGGATAGAGGGAGAGCAGCACAACTGGAGGAATCAGCCAGTTGCTTGTCTTATCAAGCGCTGCATACACAAAATCAGGACAGTGCTATTTAGCAATTAAGTAAGAACAGGGGCAGAATTGCCCTGTTTCAGGACAACAGATTCCTAATGAATGTTAGGGGCAAAAGTCTTCATAAACATCATAGAAGTAATTATTCAGAAACCTGGCGGGTTCCCCTTTATGGGATGTATTTAGGTGAGACCAAACAGCCATGCTTTAATTTAGATTCTTGCAGTGAGGTGAAAGTTGGTCTCAATGACAAAGCTGATTCTATGATTTGGTGAAGTACTATGAATCCCATAAAATATTAATTTCAAACCGTTTAGATACCTGCAGGCTCCAGTCATAAGCATGGAGCTGAGCAGGTGCTACTTCTGGGCCAATTTGATAATGCCATATAACTTTTTGAACCCATGCACATTGCAATAGGAATGCATCCTTTGGATGTAATATGACTTACTCTTGAATAAAGCAGGGAGTGGGCTGTATGACAGTAGAATATGAGGAAAAAAGAAACCCATTTCCTTCTCTTTGTTGGGTATTTATGCATGCATTCATCTGATGGCATATCTTTTAAAGGTAGAAACATGAAGTGACACTTCTGGATAAGGGTTCCAGAAAAAAAAGCATGCTGCTTGGGTAGGACTCAATGCTTGCTGTTCCATCAATACTGAGGTTTGTCAGACATTTTGACAAGAATGGTTAAATATCTCCTCCTGTAGCTCCAGGTCAGCCCTGGAGCACCAGCAGAGGAGCTGTTGTGTGGGCTTCTCATACTGTTCAGAAAAGGGCAAGAAACACATGGCAGAAAGCGCGCTGACAGCTTCCTCTCTTCCTTGGTATTTACAAATGCAGAGGGTCTTCCTCGTCATAATTATTGGAAACTAATATAGTAACTAATTATGGGGGGGGGGTTTAGATATTTAAAGACTTACGTTGTTTGCAGCACTGCGTGGGGGGAAAATATCGAGAATAATTCTACCATGTTCTTAGCATCCAGATTTGCTGTGGTGTTGGCTTGAATGTAACTTAGCTAGCTGTGGATTGCTTTTGAATTGTTTTTCGTGCCTTTTGAATGCGTGACACCTTCGGAGCGTTTTCTGCAGAGCCTGAAAGACCAACTGAACGTTTGCAGTCGAGTCGTGTTTTGTGCATCGGCGTAACCTTTTACCTACTTTTTGTAAAGCGTGTCATGTGATCCTTCCCTGCTGCGGTGGAAGGGCGGGGTTTCAAGAAGTTGCTTTTGAGAAAGAGCTTTTAAGATGACTTACTGAATGCCTCCGTAAACTGAATCCCGAATTTTTGTTAACGGGTGGAAAAAAGGGTGGGTTAAGCATATCATACGTATTTACTTGCCTTACTCCAAAAGGATCTCTTCCTGATAGCATTCCGGCTCATGGAAACGATTCAGTTGTACAAAAATAGAACTAGCAACTTGTACAGTATATGTAATTTTCTGCTCCAAAAAAATATAATGCATTATTACACTGTTTAGTTGAAACAATAGGCAGCTCCGGAAATCGAAGTAAGGCTCCATAAACAGTTGGATTATAAACGTAAGTGTTCCGCGCATGTTATCCCCTATATTTGCACTACTTGGGCACATTATTGATTCATGCTTATTAATTGAACCCGCTTAGTTTCATAGAACCACAAACCGGCTTTCAGAAACTGGATTGGAGGCTGAGTAGTTTAAATGAAGCCTGATCCGGAATTGCAGGAAGCCTCATGCAGATCTAATGTCGCACATATGGCTGATTATTTAAAAAGACTTTATTGAATAACATATATGTTATATGTTAATGAGTTTTATCCTGTATTCCTAAACAGTTATTGCAGATTTTATAAATGTGAGACTATGAAATTTTAGGGCCTTGGTATTAAATGTGAAGCTGCTGAAAATTAACTTTCTCAGTGTGCTGCAGAGAACATTCCAAGTTAAAAAAATAACCTTTTTCTTCAAGGTAGCAGTGTCATCCAGATATTTGCATATATTATCAGGGTAGATACTGTTTTTCTTTTTTGCATCAGTTTAGTTTTCCTACCTTTGGGGTGCATTTTTCTGCACTGTACTGTAGTCCTGATGTTTGAATTTGAACCAACAGGCTTTTATTTGATCTTACAATGCAGGTTGAATAGATCCTAAGGAAAACAATATACGGTATTCTTGCTTCGTTCCCATTTGGTGAGTAGAACTCTATTTCTTTATGAACCATAAGGAACTTTTCTAATAGCATGAATGTTGCTGACACAAAATGTGTAAAGCTGTGTTGATGCTGTTGTATAAAAAAATAAGACACCAGCCTTGTATTTTCTCTTTCACTCTGCTTCTTTTCCAGCATAAGCTAAACCTATGTATGGGCTTTGCCAAATAATATGTCAGAAGTACTAGTAAAAGTTTCAAATTCTCACTGGAGAGATTTGATGACACTTCTGCATTCCTTGCACAGAGTAATTTGTATTGCGTTTCTAAATTGAGACGCATGCTCTGTAATGCTATGGCCTTTTACCTACTTTTCTGGGACAGAACACATGACCACTTCAGAAATGTGGAGGCGGAGAAAGACTGCAGTAGACAATGAAACCTCTTTTACTATCCAAATAATGATCTTGAAAAAGAATAAAGTTTGGATTGTTGCAATTGTTTTTTTTTTAAGATTGCAGTTTTTTGTTGAATTATATTTCATAATCGTCTAGCAACGTTAAAGATCTTTCTTGTGAAAAACAAATATTTAGAATGATACTAGCAATCATAACAGAGCCACAAAGTTAAAGGAACTGGAGAGTGAGGAAATGCTACTTAGGCAACACAACTGTTGTGTTTGCCTCTGTTTTGGTTAATACCTTGTGGAATTATTTCATATATGGAGAAGTTGAACACACACTTTATGTGTGACAGAACAGTAAAAAATAGGTAACAAACATACCTTAAAAGATTGCGAGACTGGTTCGACATAAAATATGTACATGGGAATGTATTTCATCCATCTGCTAAATCTTTAAAACAAGGCATCCCAAATTTGCTGTTCTCTAGTTTTGTTGGGAATACTATACCACTCTCAAAAATCCTAGAAAATTTAACCCTTAAATATATTAGCTAAACCACTATCTTAGATTGCGTACAGATATATCATTGAAACAACAATTCTGGGAGTTGTTGGGAGTGAATAGTGTATGCTTCATTGCCCTCTATCCATAACATTGAGGTACTGAAGGGGAAGAGACTTTCCATAGGTACATTTTGTTTCCTTAGTAACTTTTCAGTATAAAATGTATAGTGATCAATTCCTCAGTACCCAAGAGTAATTTGACCCTGAAATTTCAACTCTTGATATATAGTGGATCTATATGAGGATCTTAGGATATTTTTACATTCTTTCAATTATTGCTGTTTCTGTCCTAATTCAGCATGCTGAGCTTTTTCCGTTTTGCTTGTTTCTAATTTTTTAACATTTATAAAACTTAAGTCATAAAAATTAGAACTGAAAAGTCAAAACAAGAATAATAAATAAAATGAAAACCACCAGGAACAGTGCAATGCAACATAACTAAAATTGCTAATGATTAAATTAGCCTAGAAAATAAAGTTTTATTTCTCAGTAAGAAAGCCTCTCGGAAAAGCATTTCACCACCTGGATTAAAAGATGGGAGAAAACAACTCAACTTTCATTTGGCTTTTTTCCAAGTTAAACCTATTCTTAATTTTTTTTCAGATAAGCTTCAAAAAACTAGGAAAATTCTTAAAAACTCTTACAGAATATTCATATGTATCTTGCTGCCTGTCTATTCATAGTAGATTTATGTTGCTAAGCAAGATGCTTGTTAAGAGAGTTTTGCCCCATGTTTTGACCTTTTTTGCCACAGTTGTTAAGAGTGAATCACTGCAGGTGTTAAGTTAGTAACACGGTTAACTGAATCTGACTTCCCAATTGATTTTGCTTATCAGAAGGCTCTAAAAGGTGATCACATGATCCCAGGACATTGCAACTGTCATAAATATATGCCAGTTGCCAAGCATCTGAATTTTGATCGCATGTCTACAGGGATGCTGCAGTGGTCATAAGTGTCAAAAATGCTCATAAGCCACTTTTTTAGTGTCATTTCAGTCACTAAACGAATGGTTGTGAGTTGAGGGTTACCTGTATATTTATGTATTAAGTTCTGGAATATATTGGCTGGTTGATGAAGGAGCAAATTGAGTGCAGTTATATTGCAAACTAGAAATTTCTCTTTCTCCAAATGATGCAATACTATAAAAATGCCTCTTCAATAACTAGCTGTCTTGTCTTATTTATTTGTTTTTCAAATAATCATCCTATCAAAGGCAGTTCAGATGATTTACAGAATTAATTGTAACATTTAAGAAAAACATTTAGAGAAAGCTCCTTGGTAATGATTTCATAAATATCTTCAAGATACTTGTGCTTTTGCCTCTGAAAGTAAATATTAGTCCTTGAATTGGCTTGAAAAGCAAACTTTCATCCATGTAGCTGAGGAAGAGGGAATGAACTATATATTAGATGTGATATTAAATATGTTAATAAAACTGCAATATATAAAAGTTTTAAGAAGGAAAACAAGCTATGATTTATAGAGGAAAATGTCTTTATGGTCTAAATGAATAAGGAGCATGCTTTGGAGGCTACAAGCTGTTGTCAAACAGTATATAGAAATTATTCTAAAATAATTTTGTGGTTTTGGTTTGATAAATCTTCCAAGAACGGTAAGAATCTACATCATAAATAATGTATGAAAAATGTTATTTGTTATTGGCATATTTTTGATTTTCTAACAAATCTTTACAATAATTTTTGGAGTGACTTCTGGTATTTTTGGTAAGTCCTGATGTTCTTCTCAGCCATGGGATAGGACGCTGGTTAAGTCCCTTCAGTTTAGAGGGTTTTTTTAAATCCCTGTTTGGCTTTTTTGGGTTTTGTATCTACTTAGTTGTTTTTTCCCCCTTTATATACTATATTTACTTTTAATTGATATCTGTATGTCATCCACCCTGATCATGTCTATGTTCCTATTGAAAAATTAAGAAAAGAGTAATATTCATACAGTATTTACCAACTGGAAAAACCCAAGATGGCAAATATTTGATCTTCATGAATTTGCCCAATATTATGTTATTTTTTGTGTAATATGTGGATGACCAAAGGGAAGAGATACTGCTAGGAAACAACTGGACAAAAGAGGCAGGAGCCCACATTGGCTTGCAGTCGGAGAAAGAAACTTAGGAAGAACCCACCCTAATGGATAATACAATTAAAAGTGATGGCGGAAAAATTGTATTCAAGATTCTGTTAATATAGCTTTATAATAATTAGCTCACGTGTTCTGTCTGGTTTATCTTGGGAACATTGACATTTTGTTTCCGATTTACTGTCTCATGATTATTGATTTTTTTAAAATAAATGATTACTGATTTTTTAAAAAAATATTCTTTCACTTGGCAGATACATTTTAAGAATGGCGGAAGCCCATCAAGCAGTTGCGTTTCAGTTTACAGTAACTCCAGATGGAATTGATTTGCGCATGAGCCATGAAGCGCTTAGACAGATCTATTTATCTGGGCTTTATTCCTGGAAAAAGAAGTTCATCAGATTCAAGGTAATGGAGATAAACACAGATTTGTACTTGGGACAGGGCATGCAACAAACAGCCAATGCTACACATTCATATTGCATGATTTCTTTAAATCTTTGTCATCTATTAATAAGGTATGAAAAAATTATGGACAATCCCATCTCTTCAGTTTTAAATTCTGTGAAAGAAAAATGAAACTCTAGAAATAATTAGGATGCTTCAAGTTTTTTAAAAAATTCCCTATGTATCTCTATATTTGTTTACCTTTATATTACGGTCTGACAACCATTGGTATTTTTCTTACCTTCGTTCCACTGAGATTTTTGCTTCATACTATCCATTAAATGACTTTTTTAGCTGATAGAAAACATTTTCTATAATATCATTTTGGGTGTCTGAAAGTTGAGTCATGGCAACTGGACTTGTTCCAGTTCACAAACGTCTCAAGCCAACAACAAAAGACATCCAATTGCCAGTGAATCTTCATTGACTTCATTTTGGAGGGTCTGTTTTTCATGGCATTATATATATATATCCATACCTTTGGTGATTTGGCTCACAATTATGTAGATTGCAGCTTCCCTGCTATTGGTTTTTTTTTTTTTTTTTTGTAAATTTCAAAACTGCCAACTATCTAGTATTGCAATATTCATCCATTTCCATTGCCTCGATGCCCTTTTTCTTCCAATTCCAATAAATATTTTTGCTAACAATGTATAATATAGATCTCTAAAGAAGGCAAATACTGCAAGGCACGCTGCATCCATATGGTAATGTCTTCCAATGTGCTGGGTCCATTCTTTGAAAGTTTCTTTTGAGAATGTAAATTGATGGTTTCAAAAACAAGAAAATAAAGTATAGATATCTTCTATTTCCAGAATGGTATAATCACAGGAGTCTATCCTGCTAGCCCATCCAGTTGGCTCATTGTTGTCGTAGGAGTAATGTCAACTATGTATGCAAAAATAGATCCTTCACTGGGATTAATAGCTAAAATCAACCGGACTCTGGATACAACGTAAGTAAACTTCTGGACCTGATTTGTCAGTATCAGTTAGTCTTTTTGACCATTGCTAGGGATGCTGAAGCATTCAAAATTTTGGTTTAGAATAGAGGTGTCCTCAACTTACAACCTTTCATTTAGAGACTGTTTGAAATTAGGATGGCACTGAAAGAGGGATCTTATGACCTGTATCCAAAGTTACAGCCACTGCAGTGCCTCTGTGAACATGTAAACAAAATTTGGGTGCTTGTTACAGTCAATTATACATTCTTCTGTATCCAACCTGTTCCCCCCCCCCTCTTTTTCTCTCCTGCAGAGCAGAAAAATGGAAGAAAGGGGTTGCAAGAATGTAAGCTGTTTTACACATTGAAAACAGTGTGATTGTGCTGGCAACCTGAAGCTGGAAGCCACGGGCACATTACACAAACAGCTTACAGCATTTTCTTAAAATCTCTTTCTCTCTCATTTCTCTGCGTGGGAGAAGAGGCCGGAGTAAAAAGTGATTTCTATAAGCACTCTCTCCTTTGCCTGGCCCCTTTCCCACTGCCAAGGTGATGGCATTTGCTCTTGATGCATAGAAGACAAGATATCTTGATATTTCTTTCTCTTTGCTCTCTCTTCTCTTGATGGAAATAGGAAGAGGAAAAAAGCAAGCAATATCTGTATCAGTCTTTTTTTCCTCCCCCTCCCACAGAGCAGAGAGATTGGAGAGGAAGATACTTAAAAAGAGTACTGTTAAATTTTGACTCTTTGTCTAAATGTCTGTCCTTATTGCCCCCCAAAATTTGAGCCAGTGGTAGATAAAACCATTCACATTCCTACCATTCACATTCCTTCATTTTTGGATATAGACACTGAAATATTTTAATGGATTTGTGAAGATAGTCATGGCGGCTTTTTCTCCTTAATTTTTAAAAATCACTGTCAATGATTAGAATTAAGGTCTGGGCATTATGTTTGCTGTATATTTCAATGGACGGATACATTATGTTTGCTGTATACCTCCATTGAAAAATAATTGTATTATCTCAATACAATTTTTCTAGAAGTATTGAAAAAAGCATAATCAAAACTTTGCTCTGATACCATTTTTAAATATAAAAAAGAGAAAAATGTTTTTGAATAAGTATTCTCTGAAAACCAATAGAACTACCTTTCAGTCTATAGACTGGAAGTCATCCCACCCCACTGTTGTCTTCACACCTCTTGGAATAATATATTTTTAATTACCAGTGGGTGAGGTTTGCAATTTTTACCCTTAATAAGAGTTCTTTTTTTGATGACAAATCTTTCTTAGTATATCATGGTTTTAAAATTCTGAAATTGTTGACTGTTGCTTTAATTTCCTCTCATTCTTTTTTTAACAGTGGTTATATGTCCAATCAAACACAGAATATTGTCAGTGGGATTCTGTTTGGGACAGGGCTATGGGTGACTCTTATTTTCTCAATGCGCTACTCTTTGAAGTTGCTGCTTTCATACCATGGTTGGATGTTTCAAGAGCATGGAAAACTTTCTACAGGAACCAAGATATGGATGGTAAGGTAATTTTAACATATTCTTGAAAGTGACATTGATATAACCTTACCTTACTATAACCACTATTTGAGGATTTGTTTTCAGAATGGCAGAATGTTTAAAATATGTATTTTTTGTTATTTATTTATTATATATTAATTGGATTTATATGACCATCCATTTAACCATAGAAAATTTGGGTGGATAGTGCCACATTTCAATGGACGGATACATTATGTTTGCTGTATACCTCCATTGAAAAATAATTGTATTATCTCAATACAATTTTTCTAGAAGTATTGGAAAATTTTATAATTAAATTAATCATAGTTTTTCCCAGGGGGTTAGGGGTTTTTATATTGTGGAATTTTAATGGTGTAAGCCACCCAGAGTTCACCATGTGTGACTTGGGAAGTCATATAAATGTGTTTCATAAGTACATAAATTAACAATTTTGTAATTTAGGAGTGCAGTATGTATTATTGATTAGCTAGAGATAGTCCTTGACTTCCAACCATAATTGAGCCTGCAGTGATAGTTGTAAAGTGATCAATGTGATTTTATGACCTTTTTTTTCGCAGTGGTTATTAAGAGAATGCCATGGTGGTTAAGGGGATCCATTCTTCACTTCGGGCATGTTTTTGCCAGAAACTAAAAGTAAATGCCGATTTTTGGTGAAAAAAATATAATTCATGGTAACATGACTTGGGGCAGGCAAACAGCCATAAATGTGGACTGACTGTTAACGACCCAAAATGTGCTTACATTACCATAGGGGGTGGGCTCCATCAGAAGTTCAGAATCAAGTCATAAGTACTTTTTTGGGAGATCCAGCATAACTTTAAACAGTTCTAAGCAAGTGGTCATAAATAAAAGACTACCTGTATTGTAAACCAGCTTTTTTGCTGTAAAGTATACCAGATCTATTTATCTATATACTACTAAAACTCCTGTGTGTTGGTTTGTAACCTTCAATTAGGCAAAACAGTAGCTCATAGGGCAAGAATTTTTGAATCAATGTTCATCAGATGGGCTAACTTAACAGAAAGCTTCAAAAAACCATTACTCCCATGGAATTGAAATTTAGAAAAGTTGTGGCTTCTTTGGTGTCACTGCGCTGCTGCACAGTCAGCTGCGGTCACATGATTGTAATTTCCAATACTTCCTGCCAGCTTCCCACAAGTCAGTGAGGAAGCCATTGGGAAGTGGGAACTCTTCTAAGGTGATGACAGCACCATATACCTCAGGTGATTCAAAGTTGGTCAATTGTGTAATTTCTGACTATATTTTTCAGAAACCTGTAGTTGCATGGTGTAAGAAGATGGGAAGTGCAGATCCCTACCCTCTTTCCTAAATCCCTTTGACTTCTGCACCCAGTCAGCTGCTTCAAGTCCTGATCTTAACAACATTGGGTGGTGAGGGAAAGCTGGCAAAATAGGATTCGCTGGGGGATTCCGGCAGTCAATGGTTACATCCCCTTTCTCCCTGGAGGGGGAGAGTCCCTTGAGGACATGCTGGGATGGGATCAAGGATGCAGTTTTCCTTGCAGTCTGCAACTCCTTTTGTTCCGCTTCCCTCTAGCAGGCAGTTGCACAGGTCAGCTGAGGTGATAGAAGAGGAGAGGAAGAGCTTCATTGGAGCTCTGATGAGGGGAAGAGAAACCGCACCAACTTACATTATATGTGGAAGGAAGAATGTCCTAATGGGTCATGGGTTGTCTACTAGGAACTTCAATCATATAGCATGGACTTAGAAATATTTATATAGCAGGATTATATGCAATTACCTCCTATGGTTCATACAACTTACCGTTTGTGTTTATTGGTGGAATATAAACAGAATATATATGAAAGTAACTAAAATTTTAAATACTGTACTTCTGTGAATAATTTAAAAAGCAGTTGCATACTAAATGTTTGATAGTTTACTTCAGAGATAATTTCAAGACTTTTTCATTTGAATACAGGCTGTATCTGAAGGGTAAGGCCCAGAGCATTGCTTTGTCATAGCTTAATATTTACATTGGCTGAATATTTGGCATGTCCTATAGTTTTTTGCTTTAAATCTGTTTGTTTAAATAATACTATGCTTGGGCATTGTTAACAACTGTAACTAATATATTCTGCTGTTTTGATTTTTACTCCTGTATATAATCAGGAAATCATTTACCATTACTGAAATCGCAAATGTGTAGAGGAATTCAGTTGATAATTGCTTTCTTTCTATAAGAACTAAAACCCTTAAGTTTTTGAACAATATTAACATAACTGGATTTCAGATCAGATGTTCTGGATTTCCACTATTGAAATCTTGCACATTGAGGGAACACCAGGATAAGAAAATTTATTTTACTTTAAACATTAAATTGTCCTGATTATTCAAGATTTTCTCCTAATCCTTATTTCTCATATATTTTCTAATGTAGTTATTAATTATTTTCTTTTTAAAAAAGAACTTTGAGAGAGAGGTGGTTATTGTAACATGTTAATCTCTATCCTTGGAATGATGAATTTTACATTCTGCAAAATATCAGAGTGTAATTATTTTTGTGATATCTATGCTTTTAGGAGACAACTTTATAATGTCATGTTAAAGAGAATTCCTACTTGGAGGCAAAAATATCCCCCATTCAGGCAGTGCCTATTGTACTGAGCCATTGCTTTCTATGGATAAGTAGGGCAAGAAGGAGAAGTACTTCATGAACTAGAATTGAAAGTGCCATGACATATTTTTCAGATATTTGTATTGATGAATATTGTCTATATTTGTATTGATGAATATTGTCTATATGAACAGATATAAGCAAATAGAGTAAAAACTCCCCTACTGTGATAAAATGGAAAACTAAAACATCTTCTGAGCAGTCTATAGATTATTTAACATTATTCAGAATTTTGGTGTGACCTGCAGGGGGATCTGCCTGTTGGGCATTTCCTTCTGCATGTATCAGACAGGAACTATACAAAGACCCAGTCTACCGCTTTCTCTTATGATTTGGTGATACTGTTTCTCTCCTTACGACATGTCAGTCAATCAGCATAAACCAAAATGGCCATTGAAGGAAGGCAGCAAAAACCAAAAAGATGGTAGCATGCCCATAGCACCTGAAATTGGTCAGATCATCATGATTAGTGCAGATCAAGCTTATAGAAGGACTTGTAATGGAAGTGGAAGTGGAAAATGGTACTTCAACATCAGATTAGAAAAATTCAAACTAAACTGGCTTTGCCTTTGGCTTGGGGATGAGAGGAAAGCTGTGTCAAGCTGATGTGTTCTTCAAGAATTAGTAAGGCATATTTGAGCCAATGGTAAAAGCACATAAATGTGTCCAAAGTCTACTCCACATGCTTAGGAGTTCTTCAAAATAGACTTTAAAAAGGTTTAGGGAGAAGCAGAGCAATGAAAGAGTGGAAATTACTCACAAATTACTTACAAAACTTTCCACTGAAAGAATGTGTACTCATTCCAATATGCTATCCTTTAGCAGTTGTGCTACTAACGTTTTTTGTCTGTAAAAAAATTGAAAAGTCTTATTTATGTTGCACTGTCAGTGTGCATACTATGGATTTGATGAAGGAAAACAGGGAAATATTAGATGTAATTAAAGTTCAGTTAGAATTAGGAATTGCTCTGCACTAACCAATAATATTTTTATTAAAGAGAACAGTTTAAAAATTTAAAAACTAGATTTATAAAAGAACAGATTCGTAATTTATTCTGACCATCATCTTCAGTAAAGGAAGTACAAAGGCACAATGGCTTATTTTTGAAATTTTATGTTTCTTCCAAGTTGAAGCATATAGAAGCAGATTACAGTAAAGAGAACAATAACATATATAAAACAATATATTAGCACAATATAAAACTACATCTTGAATGTTGTTTCATGTTACATATAATGCTCTTTCTACATTAAAAGAATGGTGAGAAGAAAAATAGTTTGCCAATACTCCTTCTAGTGAAGACCCTTTTATCTAGTCTGCAAAATGTTATTTTTCCTGTTTTATTTCCAGGCACTTGTGAAACTTTTCTCTGGTCGTAAACCAATGCTGTATAGCTTTCAGACTTCACTACCACGCCTTCCTGTTCCAGCTGTAAAGAATACTGTAAATAGGGTAAGGTGAATATTTGAAACTTTTCTCCCTAGACATTTATATTGGAATGAAATGTTAATTTTGATTTGCTTCATCTAAAGACTTCTACCAGGGGGAAAGAACCTTCCCAAACTTAATATGGTATTTTGTTAATTTCAGATATAAATAGAGTTGTAATTATTATTTGATCTATTCACTGATTATGCTTTTTGCATTGTATTTATACTGTTAAAGACCAGTTATCCAAGTGTTCAAATGTCCAGGTGTATGTTTGACAGAGAGTGAGTGAGAGAGTAATTCAGCTATCTAGAATATCTGTTATAAAATAATGCTCAAGATGTTTTGAAGTTGATAGATGTATTTTTTCCTACTGAAAATGATCCAAATGAATTGTCCATGGACTAAATGCCTGTGACTCAAGCTAAAGGAAATCCAGTTCAAAAAATAGCTTAGCATTCAATGCTGAAGGTCAAACTTGGTCTACTTCTGCAGGTATTATGGCTAGGTTAAGCAAAAGAAACCAATTACCATGGTCCAGAATTGGGAAACTAACTTAAAATCAGTCACTATCTAAGTTTTAAGCCACAATTGAAACCACAGTTTTAAATTAACTAATTCCATATTATAGTTTTCCATCTTGATATACTTGGAAATAATACAAATATGTGTTGCTGTAGTATGAAATTATTACTTGGAAGATTGCTTTTAGCTGTTATTTGAAGAGAGTGTGGGGAGTCATTCTTCAGATAGACCTTGACGTGTTGATGCCAACTCATTTCTTCTTAATGATTTTAGTATTTAGAATCAGTGCGTCCACTTATGAATGATGAAGAATTTAAAAGAATGGAAGGTCTTGGCAAAGATTTTGCTGTAAATCTGGGACCAAAGCTACAGTGGTATCTGAAGTTAAAGTCTTGGTGGGCTACAAATTATGTAAGTAGGCAAATCAAGTGCTTTCATGAAATCATACAGTTTTAAGTTACACAAGTTTTCTTTGTTTCTGATTTTAAATTTTCCCAAAGTTACTTTGTAAAAACAAAAAACGCTTAACATTTTAGTGTGTGACATCTAGAAAGTAGAAAGTGATAATAGTCGTTTTGATGTACTTAGCCACATAAAGTGACTTCGTACTCGGAACATTGACTGATACTGTTAATGCAATTTTCACTAGGTCTCTTGTTACCAGAGTGTTGAAAACACTTAGGATGCCTAAATTAAACTTGCAAATTATTTGTTTTCTTGTTTAGTTTATTTAGATGTTTTCTAGAGAAGTCAGATGCTAACTATTCTCTAGAAGGCCATAAAAATGGAAGCCATTAATGCCTTGCTAGTCCTCCAAGGTCCCTTCCAGGTCTATTCTGATTGGTTGGTTGATTGATATATAAGCTGCTCCAAAGGAGGAAAGCAGCGGCCAAGGAAACCTGCCTCTGTTCCTCCTTCTGTTATATATTCTGATAGGAGGAGACCTTTAGCAGGCACTTCGTCTTAGTGAAGGTAATTATTTAGGTTGTCAGTCTCAGCCTAATTAACCTAAACTCTGAGCATGGAACTCTTAATCACAAAACTTTAAATAAATTTGCCAACATTTACTTTAATTCATCTCTGGCTTAGTTTCCTGGCTTGGGAGGTACCGTTTTTATATGATTTCCTGATACAACTTGAGTTCTATATCTTTTTGTTCTAAACAATTGCACTGAGTAAAAACAAACAAACCCAAAATGGATTAATCATACTAGAAAAGACTGTCCCACATACAACATGTAATTGAGGGTCAGTTTGATCTTTCAGTCCTTTGTGTTATTTCCTTTAGCAAGCGTGACCACTTTTGATGAAGCTTATAGTCTAAATGTTCATTTGCTATATTCTTTTTTTGGCTGCAATATTACTTGCAAGCCAAATTGGCACTTCACAAAAATAAATCGGCACCATTATATTGTTCTGCAGTAAGCAAAAAAACCAACAACAACCCCTCCAACAACCCAGGAGCTTTCTCGGTCACTTTTCCAACAACTTTTGCCAAATATTAACCAAAACAGCATTTTCCCTTTCCCACAGGAAAAAGTAATAAGGTTAGATGAGCTTTCTTTAAAAGCTGTTGGGTGGTATATTTGAGGGGTGTAATGTCGAAGGGCTATGATACAGGGACTATATATTTAATTTTGCATGTATTGACAGCAACAAGGATTGTATTTGCACAATATTGGAAAAATGAGAACACTCCATTAGACGAGGGTGTAATTTGGAAAATATTAGACTGTACAGAGATGCATAGATTGACATTAAAAATAAAAGATAAAGAAAAGACAATATTATTCAACATGGAATAAATTGTATGAATGGTTAGAGATAAAAAGTAGAAATTGGATTAAGAAAAATTAATGCTATATGTGAATTAAATATAAAGATGGTTTAAAATTATGAATATGCTAATATAATCAACAGAATTACAAATAAGCTAATATCAAGAGAAAACTAGTTAAAATTATTGTTTTATTATTACTATTGTTACTAGTATATGTGTTAATACTCCTGTTTCTTCTTTCATTGTTTTTTATGTAAGTGATATGTCCTGACAATACACTGTATTCAAAATGTTTATGAATAAAAAAAGACATATACTAAAAAAATAGTTGTTGGATGGATATTGTTGCTTATGTAAAACCAATACAGGCAACCAAAGCAATCAAGTTATCATAATTTGTGGCTTGTTTGAGAAGGTTGAACTAATTGTATCTGAATGCCTTTTGATATTCTGTTTGGGTTTCATAAATAAATGAACCAGATCATTTCTTTGTTGTAGGTTAGTGACTGGTGGGAAGAATACATTTATCTTAGAGGACGTGGGCCTATCATGGTAAACAGTAATTACTTTGCAATGGTGAGTTCAGTTTAACCACAAATTGGCCATTTGGCTGGAATAAGATCATAACTAGTTTCCCAACTGACATGTACTTGACTGGATAATAATTTGTGTCAATATAGAAACAACAAATGTCATTATATCAATGCATCCCAATGTAAATCAATGATACCAACATCTTCTTGCAAATCCTTTTTTATCATCCTGGTTAGTCCTAGTAAATGTAGATATTTTAGGCTTAATTTCACTATGTGCTAATTTTGATCCTATGACATCAACATCTGGAAAAAGATGGAAGTATTAAAATTATTGTACGTCAAGGGTGCAGGTGCTTTTCATTCACTCATGGCAGCAGATTATATGTTAGCGCTAATAATAATGTTTTTGATTTTGGTATAAATTAGACAACCTGTGCTCCATTGGGTCATCATTTTAAAGATATTTCCTTTACCTAAACGGAGAAACAGAATGAGCAAGAGTGGGCAAAAAAGCAGTTGGAGCAGGAACTATTTTCCCCATTAATTTCCCTTCCTTTCCCAGCAGGCGAGAAGTGGCTGCTGCAGGGTGGGGGAGGGAGGGAGGGATTGTGGCTGGGAAACTATCATGGAAAATTGAAAATGAAGATTGCGTGACAGGGGCAGCATCCCAGCAGCCAGTAGCACTGAAGCCGTCACAACTTTCATTCCCTCAGGAGTCATGTGCCCTGGATTTTGAACACATTCTATGTTAGCCTATTTGAGTACCTTGGTTCAAAAATTGTTGACTGTGATGTACCAATTAAAGGTCATGACAACAAGTTTTATTATACATGGATTTTACACAGAGGTGGTATTCAGCAGGTTCTGACCGGTTCTGGAGAACCAGTAGTGGAAATTTTGAGTAGTTCAGAGAACCGGCAAATCCCACCTCTGGCTGGAGATTTTACAGTATCCTTCCCCTGCCACGCCCACCAAGCCACGCCCACAGAACCAGTAGTAAAAAAAAATTGAATCCCACCACTGATTTCACAGTATGCTTTTGCTTCAAACACTCTTTCAGAATTATCTTAGCCATAGAAGTATATTCTCCACTTTTTAGATTATGGTGATAAAAAAAGTTATCATCAAAAGTTAGAAATAGCTTATCCTCCCTTTACTTCTCATGTTTGGTATATTAGGGATGTGATTCAAGTATGCTGTTAACAGGGACCTGTAAGAAAAAAAAAACTTCCTGTATTTTGTGTGTACTTTTTTTTCCCTATTACTGCAACGATATCTGGGTATCTAAAAGGTCCTCACAAACATAATACTTTAACATCTGTTCCTACCTCTTGTCAATTTTCAGGATTTTCTGTATTTTACTCCAACTGCTGTGCAGGCAGCTAGAGCTGGCAACGCCATCCATGCTCTCTTGCTGTATAGAAGAAAACTGGATAGACAACAAATACAGCCAGTATGTAAATTTTCCAACTTTTTTGAATGCCATAAATAAGTATTATTTCTAATGACAGATTGCTGAGAGGAAAAATAAGACACCTGACTGTCAAATGTAAATATAATGTGTACATGACCTGATAAGATAAATGAAAAAAGGAGGAGGGTTGAGAAACAGAGAGTTAGGGACCAAATTAAAATTAACCGTATGAGCAAGCCAGGAAGGGTTTTTTTCCCCCAGGCTCATGTAACTAGGCTATTCTTTTTTGTTGACTTCGGATTCAGTGGGTGTTTAATCCTATTCACATAACAGCAGTAAAGTTCCAATCTTAGAATAAAGAATTTTTGAGAGATTTTTGTGTATCCCACAAAAGAGACTAGCATCCTTGTATACCTGTATTGAATAGTGACCTACTTCAAGATCAGCAACTTCATGTTTACAGGCATCATGATACTCATTGATTCAGTTTTATTTATTTATACCTCCATGTGCACACGCATGCACACACACTAAAATTGTGCCAGGCCATTTGTTCTCACAAGGCTTTGGAAGAATTAAGCCATTTAATATTTTTAACTTCTTTTAAATTAAAATGGTGTTATTTAAAAAAAAATATTTGGAGGCCTTCAGTATTATACACACACACTATAATGCTCAGTTCCTAAAAAAAGTTGATTCTGCAATACTTGTAATATTAAAAAGCTATGCATGGCAAATATCAAATAGAGTGTTGGCCTTTGGATGCCATCTTTTTTTGTAAAAGGTAGCTTCCTGCTGTTTTGTACTGATGAAGAATTGAGTATTGCTATACAGCAGGGGTGTCAAACTTGCATCGTCACGGCAGCATCATATGATGTGTATCGGGCCTTTTCTCCCCTTGCTAAACCAGGCAGGGGCGGGGCCAGCATGTGATGCATTCGGCCCACAGATTGCGAGTTTGACAGCCCTGCTTTAGAGACATGACTCTTTTACTGAACTTTCATATTTTACTATAATTCTTTCTTCATGTCTGAAATTTAGGTCTGTTTATTTCCAAAATAACAATGTGACTGTTTCAAGTATATTTCACTGTTTATTGTCATGAGCAGGTTTTTCGAGCTTCTCATAATGTAGGGTAGGCAGAAACTTGGGCTGACGAATATATTTATAGGTATGCAATGAATACAACATACGTATATTAACATGGACTGCTATATACAAATAAGTGTACGATTCAACTTCCATTTTAGCTATTCCTTTCCCAAGTGTAATCATCATGAAGTATTTTTAAATCCAGCCTAGTTTATTGTATATAACCTAACGACTTCCTCCAAATACAAGGTATCTTTGATATCATAGGAAAAAGCACTCAAGTTCTCATGTGGTTATAAGGCTATAGTTGTGCTAATGCTGCAAGTATAGGCCATATTGTGGTCAAGGCTGTGAAATATTTGGGAACTTGAAGTGGCAAAAAGGCATATTTGGGAACTCAAGTTGGCAAAAAGAAGACATAGAGCAATGATACACACTATGCTTTGTTGTATTAAGATTCCCCCCCCCCCCCAAAAAAAAAAAAAATATGGGTGTTTCTTCTATTTGTAAAATGGAAATTTGATACACAAAAATGCTGAGGTGGAAGATCTCAAATATTCAATGCATAGGATAGAATATGCAGAGAAAGAACAAATGAAGGAAGGTCTGTATGCACACATGGGTGTGCACACACACAAAATAAGTTACATTTGTATGAGGCCCTTCAGTGATCTATTTACCAATGCTGGAGCTCTCAAATTTTGCGTAATTACATAAATATTGGAAAGCAAATACTTCAATGCTACCTAAAAACTACAGGAAGAAAAGATATATTTTGAAAACTATACTTTTGAAAGATACTTCATTAACAAAAGACATCTCCAGTGGAAAGGTCACCTGGCAAACACCCTCAGTTACTAATGTCAAGTTATAAACCACATAAAACTTGTTTTCTCAAATAGGAATGACTTCTTTTCAGGTTATTGCTTCAGGTCTGAAGTGCTCTGGGGATCCTTAGATCTTCTGGTAATCTCTGTAACTTTCGCATGTTTTTTTTCTTCACAACCTAAATTATTGCTGTAAAATATAGTTGTAATGCTCATTTGCTGCATAGATTCTTCTGATGGGATCCACTGTTCCACTCTGCTCAGCTCAATGGGAGAGGATGTTTAACACCTCCCGTATTCCAGGAAATGAAACAGGTAAGAAGAACCAGCTGACAACCTGGAGCATCAGAGAATTCAATGTATAAAACAATGCCAGAATTCCCTCTTAATTCTGCTAATTACAAATCTTTATATTTACACTATGCAGAGCCTGGACATTTGCATTATTCTGATTCAAAGAGGGCAAGAGACCTTTGGGTCTAGCATGGTCACTTTAACTATATCTGCCTTCTGCTTCTTGAAGAAGTTGTGCCTTTTCCACAGCTTACAGAACACCATGTGCCTCAGGATTTTTTGGCAGCAGGATGGTTAATGTAGTTACATCTTAATATCTCTTTCGCTCAAGTAGTGGTTTTCCTGAGCCCACGTGGCTTCAGCATAAGCCTGGAAAAAGTGTCATTTCTTTAACCAGCAGTCAACAAGTACTGTAAAGTGTCCAATGCTAGGTATAAAGCTCCCTTACCTGTTTTATATTCTGATGCTAACATCCCTAACCTAAGGAAATGGAGTGAATTGTAGACTTCAAACAATGTGGAAGCTGGTGAATAAATCTGCAGTCAGTTTAAAATACTTCACTGCCTAAAAAGAAAAAAAAATTTAGCTTGCATTTCTACAAGTTTTGCTTGTAGAAAGAATTGCTGTTGGAAAATGGCTTGCTACCTACTATGGAGATTTCGTTTCGTGTGATTATTAATACTTTTGTTTCTATTTCTTTAGGTCCTCTTATTTTCAACCTCTTCTTTAATCTTCGTGACAGCTACACTTTCTCCTTATTTTGAAATCTTTGGGAGATATTTTGATTTTTCTTTTTTCCTTTCAGCTTATGATTTACAATACCGTCCCATTGTGCTCCTCTCAGTATGAACGTTTGTTCAACACTAGCCGTATACCAGGCATAGAGACAGGTACAGTTTTAGTCCTGTCAATATATTTGGCCCCTCCTTTACATTCTGTATATAGCAAGTTACTGCAATGTATGAATGCCATATTTGCTAAAGCTGTGCGCTTTTTCTTGGCAGAAATTACTATGCTTTTAACATAGTGTGATAAGAGATCCAGTTCTTAAAACTCTGTGAACCATTATCCACTCAGTAAAAAGTGGATAATTAAAGAATGAGTTAGGATGAGATATCTTAGAAATCCCAATGTGCATTCCTTAGAGATAGTGAATCATTTTTTTAAAAATAGCAGTAGCACTTAGACTTATATACCGCTTCACAATGCTTTTACAGCCTTCTCTAAGCAGTTTACAGAGTCAGCATATTGCCCTCAACAATTTGGGTCCTCATTTTACCGACCTCTGAAGGATAGAAGGTTGAGTCAACCTTGAGCCTAGTGAGATTCGATATGCCAAATTGCAGACAGCCAGCAGTCTGCATTCTAACCACTGCACCACTTTTGCCACTTTTATGCCACTATAGCTGCATTCAAACTGGTATAAATACAATAAAATTGATTACAGCCAGAAGCTTTAAAAGAGTAAAATTAATAAAGAGCTATAAAAATTTTTAAAATAACTTTAAGCATGAATCAAATGGTTCCAACAAACCTTGGTCCTGCTCTTTGAAAAAGAAGAGTTCTTGAAGGGAATATCTATTTCATTAAGAACACATTGTAATTTATGCTGTACTTTGTGCAAGATGGTCTGTGTTCCAGGATCAAACTTTCTTCTACGGAAAGAAATAAAATAAGCCAATAGAAGAGAAAATATGTAGCTCAGGACTGAATTGTGAAATCCTTTGGCTGCACAAGCCAACTAAAGCCTTCCAAACAAACTTAGTAAACCAAAAGACCCAGAAACCCAATAAAAATCCACAGGAGTCATCTGCAAATGCAGTTTAAGGACTGGACGAGCAGAACCCATGCATGAACACCAAGTAAAGTTAGAAGACACAATGGAAACTCACAATATAGGAACAGATTTAATTATACTTTTAATAGGGAAACTGAGCATCCTAGACCAAACTAAATCCAAAAATGCTAGGAAATTCCTGGAAACTTTACACTCAGACAAATCAGCCATCAATAGTACACAAATAACCCATATTTACACGCCATTCAAAAGAGACAATTAAAAAACTAATAAACAGAAAGACCAGAATAAAACCTCTCAAGCCAACACCTTGCTAATTAAGGATTAACATGAGGCAAACAATCAGAAAACAATACATCGCCCTAATTAAGAAACTACCAAGGAGAAAGCCAAGCACCCAACAAAACTGGTAGGGCAAGTTGCTATATGTAAATCGGGAGCAAACCCCACACTCAATAGCACTGATGTTACCTAGTTGGGTAATGAAACATCTGCAAGTAAGCACCAAGGATTCCACAAAAAATATTTAGGAATGAAGAGACAGTCCCAAAAACTTTAAAATCATGGAAATGTTAGGATGACAACAGTTAAGTAAATTCAACATATTTCTATAATTAAATTATTTCAGTTGCATTAAGTTAATCATTTGAAAATATTTAATGGAGAAGAGTTGGTTTTGGTTCCCAATATTGTGCATTTACCATTAACAGTCACTACTGAAAAATACGACAGTACCGGAATCTTCTCATAATGGAGAAGCTTTTAGAATCCTCTGATCCTTGTGCCTCCTCTTTTGCCTTACACATTATAACTGAGAAAGATAATAAAGTTCCTCGTAGAGCTTATGTAGAATCTTTTTAATACACATCATATCTTATATTGGTCTTAGAGGGAAGAAAACAAACACATGAAACTACATTTAAGGAACTGGAATAAGTAAAAAAGGTATTTTTCTGCAATTCCCTGATTTAACAAAAAGATATCTTTTAAAAAATTACCTTCCACAAAAGATACAAAAATAAAGACATGCATGGTAACAGTTCAAATGGTTCATGATACTTGAACTGTTGTCTTGTAAAAATCCCATATAACACTTCATAATGTGGAGTTAGTCAACATTGTGCCCATTTTTTCTAATTTTAAAGTAACTTTTTAAAAATATTCTCTCAATCACTAACGTCTTCACTAACCTTTTCTCTTTAAATCTTATTTTTCCTAAGCTTTTATTGGCATGTAACTTGATAATGAAAAGGAATAATCAAGTGCTGACCCTGAATTACAAATTATTGTGGCTTTATTTAAAAAGAATATTTATGTAAGGATGCTCCTTTTATGTGTGAGATAATGAAGTTGCTAGTTTTAATTCATTTCTCTTGAAAATGTTGATATCTGCAATATTTAAATGAGAATTATATAAAAGTTAAGTTATGGCATTTATATCTCTTGTCTATAAAGTATCAGTTTGGTAAGATGCAAACATTTTTATTTTTTGTGATATTGAGCACATTTAAATTTTAGAAGACGAAAACTAGCTTTTAGTTTGAAATAATCTGGGTAGAATAATGAACGTTAGAATATTTTTCACGATATTTAGAAAGAAACACCAAGAAGACTTATTTTGCTAGGTTTAAAGATAGTCTTTGAGTTACAACCATAATTGAGACTGCAATATATTGCGGTAATATGTTATGAGAGTCTTAAAATGAGGATCACACCATATGACCAGATCCGATTTTACAATCTATTTTGCAGCAGTTTTTAAGGGAATTCTGCTGCTGTTAACCAAACTAATTGTTGCTTGGGGCATTTTTTTGTTTTTGCTGGAAACTGGAATTTTAACATCTGTTTCTGACACAAATGTCATAAATCGCCATCATGTAACTACAGGGCACTGCAAATGGCCATAATGCAAGGCAGCCCAAGCCCCAAAATTGAGGTGGGGGACAGATTATAAACAAGGTAATTAGTCCCATTTTGGAGTCCATTGTAACTTCAAATTATCACTAAGCAATGGGTTGTAAGCTGAGGACAACCTGTATATGTGTATATTTCTAAATAAATTGCTTGTACATATGACAGTATCTCAACCTAAATATAAAATTGCCTCACTAATTATGACAATCAAGATACTTTTCACCAACATGTTGCAGGCTGGAAATTATGCAGATTACTGTACAATCCCAGCACTTTCTCATGATCTAACTTTAGGAAAAGTAGCACATACATTAAATTACATAATTGGGTACATAGAAGATAATCTTTACTCTATTTAAAAAGAAACTTTTTGTCTTCTAAAACCTTTTCTAAAATATTAAGCTGCTTTTTCCTGAAATTTCTAGTAAAGAGTAAACAATTCTTATGCAATTGAATGGAAGAGTTTCGTTAATGAGAGCTGAGAGACCAGAGTCACCTTATCAATGAGATGGGCAGTATGTGAATTTAATAAAAAAAAAATAAACATAGCTGTAATTTGTAACTGAGGATTGCAATATGTAAATTCTTGTATTATTAAATCCTACGATAATTTTAAATCTTGGTTTTCAATTCTAGACACTATCCAGCATTTGAAGGACAGCAAACATATTGCTGTATATCATAAAGGATGCTATTACAAAGTATGGTTGTACTATGATGGCAGACTCCTGAAACCCAGGGAGATTGAGCAACAGATACAGTGGATCCTAAATGACAAATCTGAGCCTCAGCCAGGTGAAGAGCAGTTAGCAGCTCTTACTGCTGGAGACAGGTATGAAACTTGGTAATTGTAGGTCTCTTAATTTAAAAAAAAAGATTTTGTTTTTTATTTACCTGATCTCTTCTTTACTTGTAACCAGAAGTACTGTAATCTGTTCATTCTGCCTTGATTGTTGCAATGGATTAATTGTAAAGTGAACATCTTTGGGATTTGTACCCTTCTTAGCAACACACAGTATTGCTTTTTTAACTGAAAGTTTGAATATCAGCTTTCAAGTGGTTACAATTGATTCGTATCTCTTACTTGTTAAGCTAAGAAATGGCTGAGTGTAGGCTTCAAGAGGTTTATTTTATTTATTTCAATTATTAGGTGAAGAGGATAGCAGGAATGCCACGTATTGTGTGCACAGTGGATTGGATCCAGACATACTGAACACAATACGCACAAAGTTAACATATGTAATATCACACCATCTGCTGAATTTTAGCAGTATTTCAGAATGAAAGACCATGTTAAATGGGTTTTGATGCCAAGATAAAGGGGATGCCAGGGAATTGGGGATGGTGGGATTTTGTTTGCTGTGGCCCAGCTAACATAATGTCCCGCATAGATTGTTGGGTCCAGCTTGATGTTCAAGATATGCTGTGGCCATGCTGTCAGAGGTAGTTTGAAGATGTTTATTATTGTTAGATCACCTAGTTTGGAAACAACTTCATGTATATTGTTATTTGTAGAGGCTGAAAATAAGGAGGCATTTTCTATAGTTCTTCTAATATATGTAGCCACCATAGCTGTGGTGGTAAGTGGCCCCCAATAGGTCCTAGCCCTAAAATTTGCCTCTTCTGAGTTGTTGTTACTTTGTTTTCTATGTGCATTTCTTGGAAGATGGCCATGTCTATGTTACTGTCCAGTAAAAGTTAGGGAACATGTTGGCTCTTGGATTTACTGAGTGCCTCAACATTGATTTGGCAGATTCAAATAATATTACTGATCTCTCTTGTCATTTGAGCCCGAAAAAATCTGTTGTTTTTGTTTTCATTTCCATGTATTTTGAGTACCAGGAAAGCCTAGAGAGTAGTCTGGCTGCAGCAGTTGCTAGTTCATTTAGTTCACGCTGTTATGTTATTCAGGGTGGACAATCCTGAATAGGATTACATCTTACTTGGTGTCTCCTATCGCTTCTTGGCCTTTTGGCTAAGATAAAGTATAGTATCTCCGGAGACTTTCCGTGTAAATAGGGCATAGTATGTCCCCTCAGTGTGACTACAGGATCCAGAACAGAACAGAATAGAATACTTTATTGGCCAAGTGTGATTGGACACACAAGGAATTTGTCTTGGTGTAAATACTCTTAGTATACATAAAGAAAAGATACATTCGTTAAGAATCAAGAATCATAACGTACAACACTTAATGATAGTCATAGGGTACAAAAAGCGATCAAATCATACTAGGAAACAGTCAATATACAAGCAACAAAGTTACAGTCCTACAATCACAAGTGGGAGGGGATGGGTGATAAGGAGTGATGAGAAGATTAATAGTAATAGTAGTGCAGATTTTGTAAATAATTGAACAGTGTTGAGGGAATTATTTGTTTAGCAGAGTGTCTAGTTCTGGTGTGAAGTGCTCTATAACGTCATTTTGAGGGAAGGAGTTGAAACAGTTTATGTCCGGGATGTGAGGGGTCTGTAAATATTTTCACAGCCCTCTTTTGGACTCGTGCAGTATACAGGTCCTCGATTGAAGGCAGGTGGGTAGTAATTGTTTTTTCTGCAGTCCTAATTATCCTCTGAAGTCTGTGTCTGTCCTGTTGGGTTGCAGAACCAAACCAGACAGTTATAGAGGTGCAGATGATAGACTCAATAATTCCTCTGTAGGACTATCAACAGCTCCTTGGGCAGTTTGAGCTTTCTGAGTTGGCGCAGAAAGAACATTCTTTGTTGTGCTTTTTTGATGATGTTTTTGATGTTAGGTGTCCATTTTAGGTCATGTGATATAGTAGAACCTAGAAATTTGAAGGTCTCTACTGTGTTGTCTAGTATTGTAAGAGGTGGTATTACGGGAGGGTTTCTTCTAAAGTCTACCACCATTTCTATGGTTTTGAGTGTGTTCACTTCCAGATTGTTCCGGTTACACCACGAGGCAAGTTGTATAACCTCCTGTCTATCAAAATATAGATAGCATCATGACGGGCTGTAAGATGAGGTCATATACTGGTCCAGTGTCTGATTTTTTTTAATATAAGTAATGATGTATGTCAATGGTTGGATGGCCTTAGACATTGGTATTTGAACATAGATCTTTTTAACACTATATTTTATTGTGTTTTGCTAATTTAGGTTAGGTGAAATGTTACTATATATTGCTAGACCATGTATGATATGCCATACGCTAAATAAATAAATAGGGGATTGTGGATACAAGATGGGGAAAGCCAGAGGATTAATGCAGCAGACTCTAATTTGCACAGATACGTTTAAACATTATGGTTAAATGCATGTTAAAATTTGAAAGGAAGCTTTATATAAACTAACATAAATATAAATGTTTTGTTTGAGAATTCCATTGCTCTGCAACTTCTTTTCCCCATATATAGCATTGATGAAATTTGCAATGATTTTTGTTGTTTCTTCATTAAAGCGAGCCAGCTTGGCAGAGTAGTTAAGGCACCAGGCTAGAAATCAGGGAGATCATGAATTCTAGTCCTGCCTTAGATACAAAGCTATCTGGGTGACCTTGGGCCAGTCACTTCTCTCAGCCCTGGGAAAAATACAATGGTAAACCCTTTCCCCAAAAACATTGCCAATAAAACTGCAATCCAGGAATCGATATTGATTTCAAAGTGTGCACCCACACACAGATACATAGGCACATAAATGCATACAGAGTTCATTAGACATTACTTTAAATATAAAATTACACTCTTTTTACAAGGATGATTCTTCAAATGATTTGACACAATATTTTTATATTCATCTGACAGAGTTCCTTGGGCTAAAGCTCGCCAAACATATTTTGCAAGAGGAAAGAACAAGCAGTCATTGGATGCAATTGAAAAAGCTGCTTTCTTTGTTACTTTGGACGATACTGTTCAAGGTTACAGAGAAGAGGATCCAGTTAAATCAATGGATACATATGCAAAGGCACTTCTACACGGCAAATGCTATGACAGGTATACTATGCTTGAGAAAGAGTTATTCTTTCATCTTTTTCGTGTATATATAAATATTCCATTTTCAATAGGTGAAAAGAAATATTCTGTCTGAAAGCAGGGTTTGACTACCATTGAAAATCAAAGAACAAATGGTACACTGTTCAGTGAAGTGCTTACTGATGTCTTGCTTTAATATCTTTTGTTTATATGTTTTTCCAAATAATTAAACAATGGGGCCTTTTAGAAGTCAAGGTTTAGCTCTGAATTCTGTTTCCTCATTTAAAGAAATGTTATATTTGTATCTTTCTAACTTTGTCCACAAAATACCTATCTCCTGTGTTCAACTCTTACTGCCATTCTCACAGATTACTGAGAATTGTAGGTTTTGGTGAGGTGCTAATAATTGTATTGCTGTTGGGGGCCTACTTTTACTTGAGTATACAATTTCTGGACAAAGAAATGACTAATACTGCACTATAGTTAGATGATAATAAAGTACATAGATACCTATCACAGTAGCCTCTTTATACAATGCACAGAAAGGAGTTAAGAAATAGTAAGCAAAAGAAATACAACAGGAGAGGAAGAGATAAAAGTAAAAGAAAATACAGCTCCATTAAATTTTGTGTACATCAACACCTTTTACTGTATTCTCAAACTTTATCTCTAGAGACATGAAAAAATAGTTTGAAACCACAACAACCCATTGTATTCTGAAGATTTTTTCCACAGCATTTCGGGTGAGCCATGGTTTGGTAGAAATGAAATTCAGAATAGCAATAACCCTTAGATTTATATACCACCCCCTAGTGCTTCATCGCCCTCTCTGTTTATAGAGTCAGCATATTGCCCCCAACAATCTTGGTCCTGATTTTACTGACCTTGGAAGGATGGAAGGCTGAGTCGAACTTGAGCTAGTCAGGATCGAACTGCCAGCAGTTGGCAGAATTGGCTTGTAATACTGCATTCACATCACCACGACTGAATGTTTTTTGGGTTTTAGGTTTTGGGAAAAAACAGAATTCAGCAGGACAAATGAAGCAAGGCTGGTACATTGTTGTCCATTTCTTCTCCCAGCATAACATCTCTGTCTGATCTTTATCTCCTAATCCCCAGACTTAGCAATGCCTTCCATTCCTCTGCTTAGCTACTAATGATGTCCCAGCATGGCAGATTCTGCTGCCTCCAGCCTATAAAAGTAAACAAATACAGTATCCACATTCCCAACAAACATATCTCTAGCTTCAGCACAAGCATTCCTTTATGTTTATCGTAAATATGTTAAACAAAATGACATGACACATGCTTCTCTTATTCCCTGCTCAATACCAAATGATTCACTAAGCTTTGGGTCGGCTGTATATCTGAAGTGCAGCCGAAAGTATGTCTTTTGCAAGTTAGTATATAAAGTCCATCCAAATTTGCTAAAGTTGTGATTCCTACATCTGGTATTTCATTATCTTAAATGTTAAGTCTGTAATATTTTCTAACAAGGTGTTTGAAGAGGGCTTGCTAATTTATCTCCCAATTGTTCAATTATCTATAGTTTTCCTCCATTGGGCAATTACTTTTTAGCTGCTAAGGTTAATTAAATGATAGATTCATTTGTTTTTGAGATTGATATCTAATCCAGTGAATAAGTATAGTAATCCTAACTCTGGATTGTTTTGATTTCTTTTTTCAGTAATAATGTTAATTTCATCAGCATTATCAGTATCAAGAGTTTTATGCCAAAAAGATAGTCACATGGCCATCACAAAAGAAAGCCCCCTTTTTGTAACAATCTCTCCAACTTTTAGAAGAATAATTAAGATAGATAACAGTATGTGCCAATTTGACTGGAGTCAAGTGCGAGCCTTGTGCAATTTTCTACTGAAGATTGAATTAAGAGGTGGATCTCCTATTTTGTAATAGCAACCACTAAATTTTCAAAATAGTTTCTTGTGGTTAAATAAGGTCGAATTGCTGATATTCTTATTACCAATAAAGTTGATTTCAGAAAAATACATGATCACCTATTCATTTTTTTAAATTGAGAGTTTCCTTCTTGTAGGAATTTTTCATTCTAAAGGTTATCTCTTCAGCAAAATTTCATTTAAGTCAAATTATAGTAATTATCCTGTTTTCTACAAATGTTATTAAAGGTTTAAGAAATATCTGATATCAAGGCTACATATTTATTTTTTCAAAATTGGAGCATTGTTTTGATAAAGGCATCAATTTTGTTTATTTTAAAAAAATGTTTTGGGTGAAAGAACCATTGATTTATAAAATTATTTTTAATAATTTAGAGTTTTAATTTGAAACTGTTCTTTCAGGGTTTGGCTCCATTCTCTATCCCTTCCTCATTTTTTTTCAGTATTCCCATCATGCTGAGTGTCTATTAGTCTATGTTTTTGGAGAAGTAGGCATAGCATCTCCCTGTGGGTATTTTTTGCGGTTGAATGGCTCCATTTTGGCTGCATAAGCATTGCCATTCAGAGATTGCTATTAGTAAGTATGGTGATAAAACAGTTAATGGACATTGTTGTTTTTCATAGGTGGTTCGACAAGTCGTTTAATCTCATAGTGTTCAGAAATGGTAAAATGGGTCTGAATACTGAACATTCTTGGGCAGATGCTCCAATTGTCGGACATCTTTGGGAGGTGAGCATTTCTGTTACCAGTCTGTAATTAATTAGATTTAATAATTCAAATAAAATGAAATTAAATTTAGCTTTTGCCTCAGTCGGGTTAACTAATTTTGGAGTGTGCATCATTCAAGAGTCAAATATGACTCCTCCTCTGCAGAAGGTTCAGATTCGTGTTGGAACTATGCACTGGATCATGAAAGCACCAGAACCACAAACTAAATTCTGTTGTTTCCAATCATAAACCAAATGGATTACAGCAGGGGTGCATGCTTTCTTCCTGAAGATAAGGACAATCCTTGATCTCTGATTAGTATCGAAGACTGCACACTAGAAAGTAAGCAGGACCAGGAAAATAGATTAGATATTATTGATATTATGTTCCTCACAAGAATAAATATATGCCAGAAACAGAGTAGTTGAAGTTCATTTATAACATACCACATGATTTTGTTATATCCTATGAATCTACATATAGTTGAGATACTTACTTAAAAAATGTAGAAGTTTATTATGTGATACGGGGCCATAGAACATTGAGCGACAGGTTTTTGACTTGCTTAACATTTTCTTATCTTGTCATTGATAATTTGAAGTTTTTAATCAAAATGCGAGATTTAATCAGAATCTTTGGGGTTTTTTCTGTATGGTTTGCAGCAGTATGTTTAACATGCTTATAAGTATTTCTCTCATTCCCCCAACCATCTACACTATCCATCTCCAGAATGTCATGTCTTCTGACTGTCTTGAATTGGGATACACAGAAGATGGACACTGTAAAGGGGAGGCCACTCTAGGCATTCCTATGCCTACCAAGCTGCAGTGGGAAATCCCTGAAGAGGTGGGTGCATATCCAACTGTAGATCCATGGTATCAGGTATACATCAGGATGCTACCCTATAATTATTCTTATTGATTGAAGTATACCTATATCCGCTTTTCAAGGAAAATGTATTTTGTCTGTTTTTTAAATTGATCAACACAATCACTGCTGATTTCATTCAGGACAAGCTGATAAATTTAGGATTAAATGGTTTTTAAAATGTGATTTCTGAATATTTCCTGAATAATACTAAGCTTGTTGCTATTATTTAGTGCCAAGAAGTGATTGAGAAGTCTCTCAACATTGCAAGGCTGTTAGCAGATGATGTGGATTTTCATTCTTTTCCTTTTGATACATTTGGGAAAGGATTAATGAAGAAAACTAAAACTAGTCCTGATGCATTTGTGCAACTTGCTTTGCAACTGGCTCATTATCGGGTAAGTATCTTAGGTATTTTTACTCCCATTTAGACACCTTTTTAAAAAAAAACATAAAGTACCTGATACCATTTTTAAAATTCCTGCTTAAAAAGAAAGTTTCCCCAGTTTTTTAAAAAATGAACTTTCCAGTGATGGAAGTTTTCAGCCTTTCCTAAAGCTTCCATGCTGAAGCCCTTTAATATTGTAGTATTTGTTTTCACTCAGGAATGAAATTTAAGCAGCTTAAATTTAAGCAGCTTCTGTACCATTTAGTACTAATTTATTAAGATTTGCTATTGTCTGTGGCAAAGATCTGTTAATTCACAAATGCAACCTATTCGTGAAAGGTCTTCTGCAGTACAGTAAATACTGTAAAGTGTGGAGAACTGATGCAGAGAGACTATCTAAAGCAGAAAATAACACAGTACAACAAGTACATATTTCATGTAGTATTGCATGTAATTCCCTAAAAATACATTGTAGATATGAAAAATATTCAGAAAGAACAGCTAAAATGATAAACGCAAATGAATAAGGAAAAGAGTCAGGAAAACTCAGCATGAAATGAAAAAATATTCTAGAATATATTTGGGATTAATTTCTGTTGAAGTCAGTAAAAGAATTGCTGAGGACTTGCATAGGATTCTGCCATAGGGAGATTAGGTGTGACCTCCATATGCACCTAGATACTGTTGCTCCCCCAGGAACAAAGCCCAGTACTATCGCCTTGCTCTCTGTTGTCCTTCTGCTTCCTCTGTATACATCTTAAGCTTATTCTCATATACTACTTAGCTTTTTTAAAATTGAGATGGAAATAAAGGTGTGTGTTTGTATTGAAAGTAAGAGTTGATGTTCATGTTTATGTGACTGACATAATATGATTTATATTCATATGTCAAAGAGATGTGGTAGTTTAGCAGCTTAAAGACGCTGGATTTATGGACCGGAGAATGTTGGCTCTCTAAATTCCAGCAGTTCAAGCCATAGCACCCATGACGGTATGAGCTCCCTCACTTGCCTCAGCTTTTGCCAACCTAGTTCGAAAGCATGCAAATTCAAGTAGATGAATAGGTAGTACTTCAGTGAGACTGACAGCAGAAGCAAGAAACCAACCTGTGCCAGCCCAACCCAAATGCAAGACGAACAACGGCAGAGAAAAACCCCCGGATGACACAGACACTCCCGCACAATGCCATTAACTGCTCTGTGTGCAGAGCTAATGCACACCCTGGGTTGCACTCTGGATAGTGCGTGAGCGTGAACTGAATGAACTCGCAATCTTAGGCAGTCAAACTTCTACTCTGTAATAACACTCTAGACTCCTACCTTTCATGTACCAACCCCATACGCTAAATAATTAAATAATAATATTAATATGTGATTTTTTTTTACTGTTGCATATAAATAACTTCGTATTTTTCTTAGGACATGGGAAAATTTTGCTTAACATATGAAGCATCTATGACCCGCCTATTTAGAGAAGGCAGAACAGAAACAGTCCGTTCATGTACTGTCCAGTCCTGCAAATTTGTGCAAGCTATGGAAGACCCAAATGAAATTGTAAGTTGAATGTGCTAATCAAGTGTAATATTACCTTTGCTTTTATTTCAGTTTATTTATTTAAGCCCACAATTTCTAAGATAAATAGGTAGTTTGATTTGCTTTCCTGAATAATATAAATACATTGTAGTAAATAATTATTTAAATAAAGTATTGTGAAACATTTCAAGTTTTTTTCCTTAAACCAATAATTGGTTGAGGTCAAATAAACTTCAGCGTGAAATATTTATTCCCATGCAATTTCTGCTTTTAATTTTATATAAACATTTTGTTTGTTGTTTTTTCTCCAAATGAAGCACAATAAATTCAGCGAGTGTACATATACAGAATTGCCTCTGAAACTTAAGTAGCTGGGAAAATATGAAGCCATCTGGTGGTCATAAAAAATACTGTTTATGTTTGGTATATTAAGTTTAAGACCTCAAAGTGTTGACTCTTCATTTTCAATTGTTAAACATGTTATAAAATGTTTTGTGTGTAAAAGTACTCTTTTTACCTTTCATATTACTTAAATCCTTTGTTTAGATCTCCAGAGCAATATGTAAAAGCCATTAAATCATCACTATTATGAATCATTTTATATAGGGATATAAAATCACAATTTTCCTGTGATTAATGGGAGTTCAAATGAGTACAGAGAAAAATGTAAGACTCAATAGATCAAGGTAGTGAAAAATATAAATTTATATCAATAGAGTTTTATCAAGCCATCATAGAAACCTCATATGGAAGTGCCCATATTTGGAATGCCAGTTTTATAATAATATAAAAGTTGACGTGTTCATTTGTTCAATCACTTTTGCCTCTTTTTGAGAAAGACATCATTTTGCAGCATTGTCTGTCAATAACTCTTGAGTCCTTGTACGTTTATATCATCAATCATAATACCTATCTACCTTGACTTCTGTTGGCCTCTTTTTCAATTATTTTATACTTTTTTTCCCATCATATGTCCAACATATCTAAGAATAATTTCAAGCAGCCTGGTTTCACTTCCTTTAGTATTGGATGATATGTACTTTTGACAGTTCCATGTATTGTCAAACTTTTTCTCCAGCATCATAATTAGAGCTGTCTTTCTTTTGTTTAGACTTTCTGATGATCTGAATTTCACAGCAATATAAAAAGTAATAAAGGCAGAATAAAATCTAACAAGTAAACATTTTACACTTGGGGAAATCATTGTCTGGGCAAAATGTATCTTTATTATCACCAGGTCTCTGCACTTCAACATTTTGTTTAGATATGTTAATTTATAATACAACATTTCTGTACATTGTTGTCTCGGAAGATAAAATTAGTTATTTTTTCACCTTTTAATAAATTTCCTTGTGAAAAAAAATCATTACATTTCCCTAGAAGTAGTAAACGTGCAGCGGGGGATTCTACAGGTGAGGAAAGTCCAGTGGGTGGGAGTCCAGGTGCTCGTAAAGGGACTTTGGTAATTGGATCTGTTCTTTTGTCTTTCTAGAATTTGGTGTTTCATTTTAATAGAATTTAAACAGAAATAGTGAGTTGTTTTCCCCTTTTAATTTACAGCCTGAAAAGAAGCGTAATCTATTCAAGGCTGCTGCTGCTAATCATCAGTGTTTATATCGTCATGCCATGACTGGTGATGGCATTGATCGTCACCTTTTCTGTCTTTATGTGGTCTCCAAATACCTTGCCGTTGAATCACCTTTTCTAAAAGAAGTAAGTAATACGTGTGAATAATTTGGGTTTTTTCCCTTTTTAAATTTTTTGTTGGTATCTATTGTTCAAACAGTTGAAAACCTTTTAAACTAGAAACTTTAAAACATTTTGAGAACACTCTCTGAGGCTTAAAATTTTTGCAAAACTGAAAATAAGTATATTTTAAGAATTTAATATATTAAAGAAGGCTAAAACATATATATTTATATTTGCAAATTTTAAATGTGTAGATTCAAATGTGTACATTCAGTGCAGCATTCTGAATGCTTTAATTGATTGAAACAAGAATTACAATCATTTGCAAGTGTTGTGCCATATTTGGTTGTAGCCTTTTTGTGCCTGGATTCATGGAAATAGGAATGTTGAATACAAAAATGGAGCATATGCATTGGATTTGACCAAATCAAGAATCAAACTGGGATGGTTTGGAAAGACCTGGGGGTTATATGAAACAAAGTGGTTTTCCTAAGAAGCTGGCCAAGGAGTCTGCCGAAATTCATACATTTTTCTAAAAACTCTCTGAATAAGAAAAACTGCAAGAGAAAAGTAATAAAAGGAAGTGAGCTGGTGCCTGTATGGTCATTCTCCTATAATTTTCTTGGTAACATTTAGTTGCCATTGTGTTTTGGAATTGTTTTTGACCTCCTAACCTAGCCTACAACCTTTAAAGTTCTAATGATCTCCAGTCTAACTGAAAGAGCTATCCAGTGCTTTGAATTTAATTTCAGAAATATCCTTAGGAGTATGATCATGATATGTGTATGCACCTTCTTGAGGAAACTAGAACTTTTCCTAAAGTTGTGCAGCTATCCTTTGCATTCTCACATATGCCAGAGAAGACACACAGTTACTATTAGGTGCTTGGGTGGAAAAAAATAGGATTTTCAGGGTTTAATACCTTTTCTGTGGTATCCTGCACACGTCATCCATCTTTAAGCTGTTGTACTTTCTTTAACTTTGATGACACAGAAGTATATTTGGGGTTATTTTTAATAGAAAGCAGATTAAATTGTATGTAAAACAAATGCAATAAAAACACAAAACAAATACAAAATGTTTTTCAGTTATTACCGTTTCTCCAACAATATGGCCTCCACCAATAGGAAGGCTCAGCATGATTACTAGGCATGAGGTGAAATTAAGCCCCGCCCCCAAAATTTAGGCCTATTTAAACCATGCGTTTCCCCCCCATTTCTCACATCGTTCGTTAGAACTACACGAGGTAAAGAGAAATGGGAGGAAGGGCGGGGTGGGGTGGGGAGAAAACTTGCCTTTAGGAGCGCCCTGCAGGTAGCCTAGGCTAGAATACCCCGATCTACTACCGATAGAACATCAGCCGATAGAAGCTCCCCAAAGGCAGAGTCATCAGCCAGTAGAAGCGGCCTCGGGGCGAGCGTCCATGCACACTCCCCTCGCTGCAAGGCCGCTTCTATCGGCCGATGAAAGCTCCCCAAAGGCAGAGTCACCAGCTGCTTCGGGGCGAGGCGTGGCTGCCTGCGGGGTGCTCCTAACAGGAGCGTCCACACACACTCCCCTCCCCATGAGGCAGTGTCTTTTGGGCGATGGAAGCTCCCCAAGGGCAGTCACCAGCCACTTCGATTGGCTGGTAGAAGTGGCCTTGGGGCGAGGAGTGTGCGTGGGGCGCTCTAGGTGGGGGAGGAAATTAAGTCACCCCCGAAAAGACGGCCTAGCCGTTTTTTCAGGGGTCAAAAAAAAAAGAAGGACCGGCCTTATTTTGTGAGAAACACAGTACAATTATTTTATCATGTTTTGCAGGCTTTTTTCACCCTCTATGCTATTTTTTATAACAATTCCTCATCACTATCACCAAAATAATTTGGAATATAGGGATCCTATTTCACGAGAAACCAGCTATAATAAACAGAATATTCTCTAATCAAGCCTTTGAGAGTTGAAAGCAACATGCATTGCATATTGACATACCTTGCACTCTTTCATGGAAAAACTCCACTATTCATTCCAATTATGAATGCTCTGGGGATATTTCCAGTAGTGACATTCCATCCCTTTTAGGGAAATTGTGGTTGTAAGAGGTTTTGGCAAAAGTACAGATGGTTTGCTTATTTAAGTTGCATGTGTCCTTTGATTTCAAATTAGTAGTTTTTGTTCCTGCAAGCAGCTGAAAAGTGCAATTTCTTACATCGTCTTTCCCAGGTTTTGGCAGAACCCTGGAGACTTTCAACAAGTCAAACACCTCAACAACACATTGATCTGAATAAGAATCCTGGAATGGAGTCCAGTGGTGGAGGCTTTGGACCTGTATGTCTGCATGTATTTTATTTTAAACATCTAGTATTTCAGATCAACTCATGCCAACCACATTTTCTGTCATACAATGCTGCAGACATATGCTTAAATATTTATCAATGGAAGTATGAACTTTATGAACTTTAAGCTTTTATATCTAAGGAAAAGAGCAAAAATGCAATTAAATGATTTGTTGATCAGAAATTTTATATTTTAAAAGAACTGATTGAGCAACATTAGATGAATTGTTCTTCTCATAACCTAAGCAATTACCCCAGTTTTCATATTATAATTTTTGAGATGGGTAGAATCTATTAATTCTATCAAGTTAGTGTACAGTTTAACAAATTAATGTTGTTTATATATTGGAATAGATCAGAGAAGGAAAAAGTTATGTTTCTTATTGTTATAAATTTATTGACTGCCCAACCAATAATATATTAAAAATCCATGAAAATAACTTTAAATAATATACTGTATAATTTAACCAAACCCCAACTAAAGGATTCTGCAAACTGTGAATATCTTACTCAATGTTTTAATATATTTTATGAAATTAACTATATAATAATAAAGGTAGCACAGAACCAAAAATCAAATTAAGATTCATTTTAGTAAATATGACTGCTCTATATTTCAGCAAATAAATGCTGCTTTGATAGCTTCTTATTCCTCTTATTTTGTATGTCAACTTAAGACTATTTGTCACATGAAAGACAAAAGTAACAAAACTCTTCATTATTTTAGAACAATGTCAGAAATTGCTATAAATTGATGTTATATCATGAATATGATACATTCATCACTTGTGGAGAAAAGAACCACAGTTGTTTAAAAAAAAAACACTTAATAGGAAGGTGATTAAATTTTGTTTTGTGATTTTTTTTTTAATTCTCAAAAGGACCATTCATAAATAATTTTCAGAGAAGTTTCTCTGATCATTATAAGATTTATAGATTTTTGCCAAATTGAATTCTGCTTTTTTCTCAAGAAGTGGCATTCCCCCATATACATTCCCTACACAATTTCCTAAACAAATCCATTAGATTATTTACATTCTTTATAATTCAGTAAGGCTAATGTTTTAGTGTCATTTTCCTTAAATAAATTTGACTAATAATTGTGATTAATCACAGTGCATGATTTAATTACTGAGGCTATATCAGTTTTAAAAAAAGGTTCCTATCACTTTGAGAAGGCACAGTATATTAGTCTGACATTCCTTTCAATTCTTCCCAAAATAATAAACTGTTTTCAAATTATGCCTGTCTTTATTGAAATGTTAAAATATGTCCTATTATTGAGCATCTTATATTGGACTTTAAAAACAAAATAGTCTTGAGCTGGTTTGTTATGGACATGTAGAGAACTGAGGTATTCTACGTATATTTTCTACAGGTTGCTGATGATGGTTATGGTGTATCTTACATTATTGTGGGTGAGAATCTCATCAACTTCCATGTATCCAGTAAATTTTCCTGTATTGAAACAGTAAGTATTTTATTAATTTTAGGGTCTATTACTCTCATCTTGTATGATTCACTAATGTCATTTTTGCACTGCTTATCTCAACAGAAAATTGGATCTATAAAAAAACTATAACATATTTTTAAATACTGCCCAATATTTTTAGATAATGTATTTCAGTATTCCAAGTAAGCAGGTATATATTCTGGTGACATTAAATAAAGGTTGGGAAATATAGATGCCTGCTGCAATCTATATTTGTTTTTGCCTTTTTTATTTATCTATTTAGTTATCAAATTTTTATGTCACAACACCTCTGGGCAGCTCACAACAAGTAAAACATGCACAGTTAATAAAAAGAAATAAAATAAAAAAATAAGAACAAACTGAGCAGGAAGAAAGGAAAAGGGTTTCACTTTCTCTTGCCTAAGACCTAGGCAAAATGCCTTGTATTTAAAGCCAATCAAAGTCAAGAGGGAGCCAACTGGTTCTTGCAGGGAGCCTCCTTCCAAAGGGCAGATGCTGCTGCAGAGAAGGCACATTTCTAGGATCCCAATTGATAAGTTTAATCACCCAAAGAATCCAGACTGTGCCAACCCTGGTAGATTAAATTGGCCAGACGGATACATCCAGGATCAAAGATGGTGTATCCCCAGACTTGGGCAGCTCAAACACTCACAATCCTTAGTCTTGTTACAATCAAGTCAGAGATGATTCCTCCCCATGCAGATCCCAACAGCCTTCAGGCACCAGGATTGAAACAGATCCCTGGTGCGTATAAGCCACTGATCGTTGGGTTTTGGGGGGAACTACCTTTAACTCTCATATACCCAGTGAAAAGGGTAGAAGGTTGCTGTGTTCTGAGAAAAGAGAAATGCTGAACTGTGTATGTAAGCAAGGAGACAGTGGGTTAGGCGAATTTGGAGGTGTGCATATTTATATGTAGATAGGCATACCGTTAAACACTTCTTCAACCTCATGAAGTTCTTGGGGACCAAAGTTTAAGTAAAATGTTTGACCTCCAAGACGGTGGACACATCCATTTATGAAGTTTTCTTAGCAACATAATGGAAGTAGCTTGCCATTGCCTTTTGCAAAATTGTTCTCAGTCAAGCATTAACCAGGGCCAGCTCTGCTTAGCTTCTAAGCCTGGATCCAATTAGATACTGTCAGTCTATATTACGCAGTTATCTGAGATAAGGTGGCTAATGTAAGATATACCACAAACAACAGCCTAAAGGGGCTTTATTTTACATAACTACCGTATTTGCCGGCGTATAAGACGACTGGGCGTATAAGACAACCCCCCAACATTTCCACTCAAAATATAGAGTTTGTTATATACTCGCCGTATAAGACTACCCCCTCTTCCACACACCTTCCACTTTTGCACTTTTTTTTTTTTTGACGCACTTTTCTGCTTTGGACAATTTTGAAATGAGCTAATCCAATTTTGAACCAAGAATATGCAAATAGCTATGGAGTTTAGAAATGAGTTTTAAAAATATTTTTCATTGCTTACCATTAAGCGTAAAATATGTTGTAAATAAAATGAGAACACAGGAAACGTTCTCTTCTCAATACAGCTGATCTCTCTCTCTCTCTCTCTCTCTCACACACACACACACACACACACACCAAAAACCCGGACACTGAAAAGGCTGCCAAGGAACAGTATATTCAATGCCTTCTCTTTAATCAAGAAACAAGGAATTCCTTAGAATCTTTTTTTTTCCCCAAGTGGCCCTCTTTAAAAAAAAAAAAATGGAGGTAACACTTTCATTCAAAAAGTCTTCCAGTATCTGGAGTCGCTCAGACATATTGAAGTGAGGCAGGAGAGTAAGTGAAATTTGAAATGATCCAGCTACCGTTTTCTTCCCCTCCCGCCCGAAGGCCATTATCTCCACGTCAAAACGAACGAGGGGAGGCAAAGAAGCCAAACACGCTAAAAAGGATCTCTTTATTTTCCTACACAAGGTCACACCTACTTTTCCGCATTCAAAGGACAACCTCTCCTCACCACCACCACACACACACACACCCCCCAATACCCGCAAACAATGTTCTGGGCATTAATCACCATTGCTACAATAACCTGGTAAATTTATACCCTGCCTCCCCCAGTGTTGCTTTGACGGCAGGATTTCACACAGCGGGGCGCTCGCTCGCTCTCTTCTCCGCTCTCCCACCGTTCGCACATGTTGGAAGCACCGTAAAACCTGATAACCCACCCGGGGGCTCCCCCATCCTTAACCTACAGCCGCCCGCATGCAAAACCTGCATGCAAAAAGAAAAAAAGAAAAAGAAAAGTACGCCGCACGTGAGGATCTTCAAATCCTCTCCTCCCCACACCGCTAAGGAAGGAAGAGGGGGAAAGGTTGCGCAGCGTGTGGCGAGTGACACCCGCCACACACACACACACACACACACACCGCTCCCCCCCCAGCCTCCCTCCCGGCTGCAACTCAAGCTCGAAGTGGGAGTCGGAGTCCTCACGGCGTATAAGACGACCCCCCCACTTGGAGGCATGTTTTTCAGGGCAAAAAAGTCGTCTTATACGCCGGCAAATATGGTAATATAGTGTTGCTGCTGTTGATACATTTTCATCCAGGCCTCAGAAATTACTTCCTAGAAAAAATGGCTTTGGAACCTACCTTTCTCCACTTTCATCATATGCTTATCTACTAATATCGTATATCTAATTTAGTAGATATGGGTATCATAAATGTTTACAGTAAATAAATAAAATAAGTCCAAATTGTTTTCTAAACACATTAATCCTATTAAAGATTTTTATAAAAAGAACCTATAAAATCACATCACTGAATAAACAAAAGTAGTATATGGCAATCAGCTTCACACATTAAAAAAGAATTGTGTATAGACATGCATACTTTATGTACACTAAAATTGCTATGTGATTGTGAATTTGGATTTTTAACTTTTTAGAATTCTCATCGCTTTGGGAAAAACATCAAACAAGCATTGTGTGACATCCTTAACTTGTTTCACCTTGGCAAAAACTCTACTAAATGATTTTTCTAACAGTAGAATGACTAGTTGGTCAATGTTGGAAATGAGAACTCTTCTGTACAGTGACTGAAAATAAGCTATCCTGAGCAGCAATCCATTCCTAGGTATATAAACAAGCATTCATGTGTGGTTTCGACGGTCCATCTCTTTGATTCTTCAGAAAAAAAATTCTTTTTCATGAGAAATGACTATTTGCTGAGAAATAGCAACATGAATTTTATTCCTAATTTGTCCTAATTTAACAACTTAATTTGTGTTCTATAAATTAAGAGAAAATGTGTGTATTCCAAGCTCATGCTAATAGAAAAATATGACTTGAAGTATAATAATAGAAGACATCATTGATTTAATTGTTGGTGGGGTTTTTTTCTTCAGAAAGTTACCAATTAGGACATACACAATAAAGGCATTTCATTAAGTTGAATGTTAGAAACATCAGGCAAATTTAGTAAATTGTGCTTAGTGGGGGGAAGATATTTTGCTATTGGAAATTAAGCCTGTTTTGTTACTTGAAATGTCAGATGAGGCTTTTTCTGTATACAATTTTAAAGCCTGTATTTGCTGAATTTCAAAAGTGGAATGGCTGCATTTCAAAAAGAAGAATTGCTGAATTTGCAGTAATACTGGGTTAATATCTGTAGATAAAAATGGGCATGTTTTCATGAAAAATCTCACAATTTTATTTGTATTATAATAAAAGTTAGTACAATTAATCAACTGGTTTAAAATCTGTTGGGACAATCTTCAGTGTAAAGACCAGTCAAAGTAATTTGACCACCTTCTGCCTTAGGAAATTTTCGTATGTCATAAAAAGCCATTAATGTAATTACCTAACAGTTAAGTGTCATAGATTAAAATTGGAGTTACCTCAGATTTTTTTTTAATGTAGAGAATCATACAAATCATGAATGGTATTATTAAAAATTCTGCATTAGAAATTACAAAGAAAAAAGATAGTTGGTCTTATGGCTGGCAGAAACCTTATTCAGAAACCAGAAATGCAAATATTACAAAAATCAGAAAATGAAATCTTCTCAACCATCTTTACATAAAACGCAATTCTTATCAGTCTCTTGTAAGTCTTTACCTAAGATCTAAAAGGCCTTATCATCAATTATCTGTTTCTCCAAATTTAATGGCTTTAAGACAGATCAAGCAACAAATATGGAGGTTAATCTAATAAAACGCTGATGTTCAAAGAGCTTTTAATGCCAATAGACGATTTGGGACTGAAGTTGCTTGTCCTGAGAATTTGCTATTAAATTCTTTGAGTTCAATTCATGCAAATCAGTTATATTATTCACTTAATAAATATTGATGTATAAATCTGCAAAAGAATAGATGAGTTTCATATGATCAAGAATGGTAAACATCACAAAATTATGGGGGGAAAGCAATGGATGTCATGCTGCATTCTTAAGTCAGTGTTCTGTTTAGTATATGCTTTATTTTAACAACTGACCAGTCTATATTCTAGGAATCTTTTTTTATCAAGAGCATTATTAGGTTTGACTCAGGTTTTAGATATTTGAATTGTAAACATGCTTAATTAGTGCATTATCAATGCAATGTTTCATATTTTAAAGAAATGTAAATGTGTAATTGGCTGAAGTTAACATGAATTTTATTGTAAGTGATTAAAAGGTTAAATGTCTGGGGTTTTTTAATTGACACAAAAACAATTTCTGATCTTGGTTTATATCCTCTTAGAATGTCAACTGCCTGTATATAATACTGCTTTTGGTTGTAAATCTTTAAACACATAGTAAACAGCTTATTCTTAATAAAATATTATTTAAAAGTGTGAATTTTATATTCAGTATATGGATTGTTCTCATTTATAACTTTCATAGAAATGAAATTCATTTTGAAAGAATTGGTTTGAAAATATTTAGACTTTAAATATGTGTATGTATGTATATGTATGTATGTGTAAGCCATTTGTTTAGTGACTGGTCAAAGTTACAGCGGCACTAAAGAAATTACTTATGACCATTTTTCACACTTAGAACCATTGCAGCATCCCCATGATCACATGATCAAAATTTAGATGCTTGACAACTGACTCATTTATTTTGATTGCTGTATCCCAGGGTCATGTGATCTCCTTTGGTGACCTCCTGACAAGCAAAGTCAAAAGGGAAGCCAGATTCACTTAACAATCTATTACTAACTTCACAATTGCAGTGATTTACTTAACAACTGTGGCAAGAAAAGTCACAAAATTCACTTAACTGTGTCTCACTTAGCAACAGAAGTTTTGGGTGAATTGTGGTTGTAAGTCAAGGACTACCTGTAAATGAGTATTTGTTTGTCCACATATGTAAAATACAAAACAGACATTATAAGAGCCCAAGAGCTTCCTAAGAAATGTTTAAATTGTTTTCCCATATTCATCATTTAAATGTAGAGTAAAACTAATACTTGTCTTAGTATCTAAAGTTGACTCCAATTTTCTGTATCATATTAGCTGCATTTGGAAGTAGTATATTCTTAGAATAAAAAAATTATCCTGAAGTTTACATATTTTGCTTAAGTTCTTAGCATAATATTCTAAGTTCAGTTTATTTTGTAAATGTCTGTATTTTGGTGCATCACTTAATCATACAAACTGAGTTTTTTTTTCTGAGATGAATCTAATGATGTTTGGCCATTGATGAAATAGCATCTGCTGCTGAAGTGAATTCCCATATTCTCTCATAGAAGACTTCTTAAAACTTACTTGGGAGAAATGAACCCAAATCCTGTTGTGGTTATATAACAGCATCATATATTCACAGGGAAGGAGATTTTGTTGTTATATCAGCCATTTAAAAATCATTAGTTTTAAGAGCTAGTAGTCCCAAATCAGTCAATGAGCTTTCATTTATTTATAAATTTATATGATGCCCATCTCACTATAGAAGTGACTTATTGACAACTTGAGATTTTTCAATGGAGTAGGTAATACCAGTATTCTATCTTCATTACACCAAACTGGTTTTCTTATGAAGATCAAGATTAATTTCTCTTGCCAGATTCTGAAGTTCAACACCTTAAAGGGCGAGATTAAGAGTTTTCAGTTCCTGATGCTGAAGGCAGATGGAAACCCTTAGCCCCACTTAAATACACATTTATTCACTTAGGTCTACCTCAGGCTGCAACAATGTAATAGCTTGCTGTGATGTGATCTATGCTCATTCAGTTGCTGGTTAGTAAAGCATATTTTCCTTGGTAGAAGGGAAAAATATTTTGAAAACCATGATAGGCTAATGGCTTTCTCTGGAACATCATTCCCCCAGAGATTAGAATGCCTCCCCCCCCCAACATTCCTCTGGAAAGTGCTGAAGACCTGGTTCTGTCAGCAGGCCTGGGGAACCCAGAATGGGATGGAGCCCCATTAAATGGCTTGTGTGATGTGTTGTCACCAGGGTGGGGGCCTATTATATTATTAATTTATTATTCGATTATTATTTTTTATATGTTTTTATATTCCTGTAAACTGCCTTGAGTCACCATGTTCAAATAGGCAGCAATATACATTTTCTAAGTAAGTGGCATGTGTTGCCTTCTCTCACTTGTCTCTGCTTATCTATCAACAAACAAGACTAACCTGGTCAATGTAGACACAATAGCTCCCTTGGCATCTTGAGCAGAAAAGGTTATTTTCTAGATCTTAAATCTGGGACTTGAAGGTAGGGTTAGGTGGTAAGATAATCCCCGTTTTTAGAAGCAATATTAGCACCTGAAATCCTATTAATGTAAAAAGCAAGTGAAGGAATGGGCCATCTCTACTGCGAAGTGTTTCCTGTTCAAATTCTTCACTTTTCTTATTTGCCACTGTCTGCTTGTCCTTAACTTTATAGCAATTGAATATAATTGGTAGAACTTAAAAATTGGGAGTGATAGAAATGTGTTACGGGTGGTCCTATTCTGCTCACCTTAGACATCTCATTGGGGGGGAAAGGGGGAAAAAGAGGTTACACCATCTCTGCAATGTTAGTATTGTTGGAAGCAATATCCTTCTGGGTTCAGTTCCAAGTGGGGAAAAAGACATTGGATTCATGGAAATTGCTTGGAAAGAAGGTTTAATGATGGACAGGACAACATGCCGTGGAGCTCCTGGGCAAAAAGGGGAGAGATGCTGAGAATCCCTTGGTTTTACACCCTCTGTTGGGCCCCACCTTAGTGTTTCCTGTCCCTGTGTAAGAAATGTATCCCCATTGGCTGTCAGACTTAACTTTGTAGACTTTGTCTGGACCACATGGCTTCTTCACCTGAGTGCTGGCTAATGCAATCTTCCCAGGTGCCATGTAGTGAGATGGGTAATCCTATCATTTCCTGAGGGCCATGTCTTAATCCCATCACCCTGGAGCTGAAGGGGGGGCCTGGGAGCTGCAGGAAGCTGCTTTGTTTTTGAAACCTGTTTCTCCTTTTCTTCATACAGGGAAAAATAATATCCTGCCTTTTTAATGTTTCCTATAATATTTCATTCTTCTAGAGGTGTGGGTGCTAATTTTCTACAGTATGTATAACAGGCATTCATTCCCTTAAAAGGGAAGAGACAAATACCATAATAATAAATATTCCACAAAAGGAAAATATAAGTGTGAAGTTGCATTCTTTTCTTTATTGAGGATTTAACTTTAAAAGTGTAGGAGGCTTAATTTGTGCAGAATGCTAATTAAAAAGGCCACATGAAAAAGATCACGGTATATTTTAAATTGGTCTGTTGAAGAACAAGAAACCCACCAGTTTACAGGTTTTAAGTACTGTAAGGCCAGTAAGCTTTCAAGGACAATGCGCTTGGGTGCCGGTGGTTAATGACTGTCAATCTGCGGGTATTCAGAGGATCTTCTAGTTTGATTTATGGAGGCTATGGATTTGGGTGTGCGGGCTCCAGTGCACAACAGACCTTTTTACCTATTATCCCCGTCGGAGAGAACGTTTTGTCTTTTGCTCAGAAAAGCAAAACTTCCGTCTTCCCCTCCGTTTTCTCTTCGCCAAGTGAAAAGGTCGAAACGACCTCGCCCATTATTTAAACACTGTCTGGGGAGAGGATAAGCGCGAATCTGGAACTAGACCGTGCAGGATACCAAGACCGTGCATTTCCAAAAGCCACTGCCGCCCTGCAAAGCGCGCGCACCCAACCACCGGCGAAGCGTTGGGGAGGGGGGGATTTTGTACTCTCCGAGGCGAGGTCATCTGACCCGGAACCTGCGCGTGCCCTCCAGGCTCCGCCTCAGCTCGAGGCATCCGCTGCTCTTCCCTCCGTCCCCGCCCAACGGCTCTTCCTCCGCAAATTAGAGCAGGCGCTCGCCAAGCGTGATGGAAGGGAAAAGGCGGGAACCTGCCGAGGAGGAAGGTGAGCGGGAGAGACGCAGAGAAACGGAGAAGTACCGTACTGTACTGTATGTACGAATGACTCGTCAGGGCTTGTTGGTCTCATATGACCTGCGCACGCACACTCCCCACCCACCCGACAGATTGGAGAAACATTTTTTTGAATTGGGGGGCGGGATCCCATCAAATCTTTAGCCCTTTTCTTGAGGTAACGCGTTTTAGTCTATCCAGCAGCTGGAACTTACGGGTATAGATAGATAAAGATAATGCACGCTTATTAAACCCTGGCGTACCCGCAAGTCCTTTCAATGTAGGCGGCACTGTAAAGTGTGAGGCTTCGATCACACATGAAAAAAGTCACAACTATTGATTATTTTCAGAAGTGTCTGTGTGTGTGAAAAGAAAACAAAGGAGCCAACAACTGCATGTATAACCATTATTTCATCATGCACTGCAGAAAAAGCATTCCTGAAGAGCTGTACATATAAGACCACTTTGATTTACTTGGTACACATGATGAAATTCTGTAGGTGTGCATAATCATTTCACACTATCAATATATTGTATCTATTCACCTTCATTCTCATATCTTTGGTTTATCAGCATTGGTACCTACCCTAAAGAAGTCTTCCACCAGAAATTCAGATCTATCACTCCATACCTTAGCAGAAAATTAATTAAAATCTGAGCTGTTCAAAGAGTATTTAATCTTCATTGGTACATCTCTTATAACTGTTAAACTAT